TATGTAAATTATCAAAGCACCAAATTTTATGTCAAGATATAGTGTTTTTATTATGCTGTTGTTTGTATGCATATTTTAACTTCAGCATGGCCGTTTGTTAGCCGCCCCGAGCTGTATATTGGATGGGGCGGGATATAAATCCAATAAATAAATAAATAAATAAATAAATAAATAAATAAATAAAGGTCTCCAGGCCCCACCTGGAGGTTGGCAACCCTAATGAGGCAGCTACGTACCAATGTCAGGGTAGTCCTATGACATTCATTCATTCATTCATTCATTCAATAAATTTATATCCCACACCTCCCCGCCTTAGGCAAGCTCAGGGTGACATTATGGGCAGTTATAGCACAGGAGAAGTAAAAGACATGAGTGCTCTGAATGCGCCCTACAGATGGGTTCATTTGCAAATCTGGAAGGCAGCCCGTCAAAGAGGGAATTCTGTCAGGCTTCGTAAGCCCCACTGTATACATAGCAGTCAAATTAAATGTGCATGAATTCATACATCCAAATTTGCTGAGGAAGGAGTTCTCAGGAGTCTGGCGGGTGGGAAAATACATTTGTGTCACTCAAATGTATCCACCTCTCACAGGTTTCCAGGAATGTGGAAGGTCTTAACAAACTAGGAAGCTCAGTTTGTTCCACACAGAGCGGCAGACTTGTCATCTGGGACAATGGGCCCTTTCATGTCTGAAACATTAGTATGCTAACGTTGTTTTCAGAGTCCCTCGGTTGGTTCCGTGCCCAGATCTATTCCACATCACCAGTGCCCCAGAGTTAAGAATCATCTTTGTGTTCGTTTTGGAGAGTCACTCTACTGGCTGAACTCTGTTTAGGATTATACTGTTGAAACCCATTGCCTTACATGTTAGAAATCAAGTTCTGTAGTATTGTAACTTTTGTAACAAAAGTTAGAGGCATGGGACTGTGGTACAAAATTTCTTACAGTTATCAAAACTATATACAATACTCAATCCACAAAAATTATAGTAAATGGAGATATGACGCAAAACACCAAAATGCAGAAAGGTATGAGACAAGGATGCCCATTATCACGTTATTATTCATCTTTACATTAGAAACATTAACTGATTTAATACAAGAAAACAAAGATAACAGGCCTCGAGATAAAAGGAGAGGAATTTAAATTACAAGCCTTCGTCGATGACTTGATCTTTATATTAGAAGATCCAATAGTATCTATTCCCCATCTTGTAAAAACAATTGAAGAATACGGGCAATTAGCAGGTCTTAAAATTAACTATAAAAAAACAAACATACTAACTAAAAACTGTACACAGGAACAAATAAGCCAAATACAAGAAACGTCCACTATGGAAATATCAAAAAAGTCAAATATTTAGGTATATTATTAACTAACAGAAACAACACACTGACAGAAGACAATTATACCAAATTACTGACAGATATGAAGAAAGATCTTCGAAAATGGAAAGATTTTAAATTGTCATTCATGGGGAAAATAGCAATGTTAAGGATGAATATACTACCTAGATTTCTCTTCCTAGCTCAAAATCTACCAGTCTTAAGAACAACACAATACTTTAAAGACCTGGATAAAATCTGCAATCAATTTGTCTGGCATAAAATGAGACCTCGAATCAAATGGAAAGTACTGCAAGATAAAAAAAGAAAGAAGTGGATTTGGACTACCAAATTTATACTACACTTATAAGTATATACTACACTTATACTACAAAGCAGCAGCATTAGGATGGATAAAGGAATGGTTAACATTAGAGAATATAAGACTCTTGAACTTAGAAGACCATAACTTAGCTATGGGATGGCATGCCTATGTAGGTATGGAAAAGAAAAAATACATACACATTTTCAGCAACACACAATAAGAGGAGCATTAATAAAAATCTGGAAGGAAATAAAAAACCTTTTATTTAAAAAACCCCCCTAAATGGGTATCACCTTTAGAAGCTTTCATAAAACCTACTCTGATTACAAACGACAAAATAGAGAGCTATGAGACCTTACTAGATAGAAATAACAAATTGAAAACCAAGGAGAATCTTCTTTCACAAAATATAAAGTTGACATGGTGGGAAACTTTACAATTAAATACCAGATATAACGAAGACACAAAATAGGCTTCTATGGGACAAAAAATGATTTGGATAAGATTTGGTTGTCTACAAATGATAAATGATTCAAAGGTTATACAATTTCCTGTTAGATGATTTTACGCAAGATGAAGCAGTAAAAACAATTATGGTTACTTGGATGCAAGATTTAGGGCGTAATATAGATTTAGAATCTTGGTCCAAAATTTGGATGGTAGTAAAGTTCATGAGAGCAGTGCCCTATAAAGAAAATATCTATAAAATGTTTCATAGGTGGCACTGGTCACCTGATAAAATAGCCAAATGTTACCCAAATATGACAAATAATTGCTAGAAATGCAAAAACAATGTAGGTACTTTTACCACATGTGGTGGAGGTGTGGGATAATTCAGAACTATTGGCATAAAATACACAACATAATAATGGAAATAACAGATATCTATTTACCCTTCACACCAGAAGTCTTTTTATTAAATATGCTTCCTGATAGTTGTAAAAAAATGATCTGTATATGATAACTTATATTTTAGCATCTGCAAGAATATTAGTTGCTAAATGTTGGGAATCAGATAGAACACCTTCAAGAGATTGTTGGAAATTGTGAAAATGGACAGGTTAAATATCATATTACAAGGAAAAGATGAAGAATTGTACTCCAAAAGATGGACTAGAGTGTAGGCATGGTTAGATAACAAATTTGAAAACTAGACTCAAAATACTGTATACTTCCCCCCCCCATGCTGTTATATAAAAAAAACTATACATAAATATATATTAAAAAAAAGAAATCAAGTTCTGAGTATAAAGTACAGGTTACTAATGATGGCTTTTGAGTCTATGGAGCTATGTATTTGTCTGAGACACAGTGAATCCAGCAATGCCAAATGTGAATTTGACTTTCAGTAAGATGGATATCTTTTCCAGGTACTAAAAGTTACAAAAATGACTGGCTGTTTCCTGATTGTACTATCCTCCCGTTTCTCTCAAGGGCTAGGCTGTCCATTTTGAAGAAGCGGTTTTGTTTTAGCAAAGGAACTCTATTTTCTTAACAACGAAGTGCTACGAAACAAACCATTTGCCAGGTGCTCCTCTTAGTTTCCCCATCACTGCAGTCCCTTTGGGTTGTTTGATTTCTGTATAAAATTATGTCATGGTTTAGAAATTTAAATACCATAGTTATACAGGGCATTTCAAGAATGAAAGGCTGGGCTGGGTTGGAAATTACGTCCCTTTGGTCTAAAGTGATACCTTGTGATGCGGGATGTCGTCAGAGAGGGCCTTACTGCAAAGATGTGTTCTCCCAAGGCCTGGCCTTTCTCGTTTGACTTGCTCATGTCTGTTGTTAGGCTTGCCAAGTCCCGCCGGGGGGCGGGGAAAACCCCGCCCCAGAGGCCCGTTCCCCGGCGGCGGATCGGCCCCTGGGGGGAACCCCACCCCCAAAGTACGTGACGTGCACGTCACCCGGAAGTGACACAACCATGCCGGGCACGCTGGGGGCGGGGCCACAGTCATCCGAGGGAAAACTCTGTTTTTCCCTCGGATGGTCGTGGGCCCACCCCCAGCGTCACCAGCATGATCACGTCACTTCTGGGAAAGAGCCGGGAGTCCCCCGCTCCAGCAAAAGGTAAGACTTGGCAACCCTATCTGTTGTTGGGGTGCCAACCTCCCAGAATTACAACTGATCTCCAGATGACAGAGATCACTTCCCCTCAAGAAAACGGCTGCTTTGGAGGGTGGACAATATGTCATTATACCTTGCTGAACTCCTTTCACTCCCCCAACTCCACCCCCAAATCTCTAGGAATTTCCCAACCCCGTGTCTATGATGTCTCTTTAAAAAATAATAATAATAATCAGAAACAAGAGCTTTCTGACCAGGATTTCTGGATACTTGATATGAAGCATAATCTCGGTGGTTGGCAGGCCTGTCATGATTGTTAATATTTATGTGTCACATTATTATTTATTATTATTTATCAGATTTATTTCCGGCTCCCTCTCCCCTGAATGGGATTCAGGGCAGCTAACAGCATGTAAAATACACTCGATAAAAATAACACCAAAGATACAATAAATAAACTTTAGAAATATAAAACAATAAAGCTCCATATGGCCATTATTTCTCCCAATGCTTTAATTCTATGCATCTTTCTCTTTTCTTAATTAAAGAATACTTTCTGTCTTCGGAGCCTGAAAATGCCACTGGTCAAACTCAGGAGTTGTAGAATCTCCAAATGAGTAATACCAAAGAACAGACCTTGACTTCACTCCAAAGTAATCATTGTACTTTACCTCAGGCTGGAATTCCTTCCTTGTTTAAATAAGAAGCTGGCAATGACTCTACCAAAGTCTAAGGGGTACAGATAACCTCCGCTGAGTGCTTGTTTGGTGTAGTGGTTAAGAGAGAGGACTCTAATCTGGGAGAACTGGGTTTGATTCCCCACTCCTCCACATGCAGCTGCTGGTGTGACCTTGGGTCCGTCACAGTTCTCTCAGAGCTGTTCTCTCACGAGCAGTCCTCTCAACCCCACCTACCTCACAGGATGTCTGTTGTGGGGAGGGGAAGGAAAAGGAGATTGTAAGCTGCTTTGAGACTCCTTCAGGTAGTGAAGGGCGAGGTATAAATCCAATCTCTTCTTCTTTTTCTCTTCTTGTTGGTAGAATGATGAGATATTTACAGATATCAGTATTTTTAAACACTGTTAATTCTGAAGGGATTGAACCGCTGGTTTATGAGAGTGGCACACTAAGAGTCTAACTACACAATATGTCATTCCTGGGTCCATTCTTAGGTCTACCATGTGGGGCCTGTTAAGCAGATGTATGCTGGGAGTTCCCAAATGGAATCTTGAGTCTAAGGTCCCTGTGGGCCAATTTAGATCCTGGGCGCAACACACTAGGAGAGGGAGTTTAAGCCTTCCCTCTGTATTCCATTTTGCCAACCTGAAGCAGCCCCCGTGAATACTAATTTGCCCCACTGGCAAAGCTATATTGTTAACCACCTTGCCAAAAGGGAGGATGGCGGCTAATAAATATTTTAAATAAATAAACAAACTCACATGTAGCCTGTGCCTGGTCTACCCCTGTAGACCAGCAGCATATATAAGTTCCCTCGCTGGGGCAAATAGGAGCTCCCTAGGATGATTTCAGGTTGGGAAGACATTTTGAGAGGGGGAAGCTGAAGCCCCATTTTCCCCATCGTCCCAATCTGAACTGACCCACACACTCCTGAAGTTTTGTTCAGAAAATTCTGCTGCACGTGTGCTTGAACAAGGCCTAGTGATGGCGAACCTTTTAGAGACCGAGTGCCCAAACTGCGACCCAAAACCCACTTATTTATCGCAAAGTGCCAACACGGCAATTTAACCTGAATACTGAAGTTTTACTTTAGAAAAAACAACTCCTGCATTAACTTAAGATGATCCAAACAAAGTAAGGAAAGCAATCCCAAATGCTTTCATTTACTTAAAATTATTTGGCAGAGAATTCAACACTTTAATGATGGTCTGGGCCTGGCTGGGGCGATGGTACGCGTGCCCACAGAGAGGGCTCTGAGTGCCACCTCTGGCACCCGTGCCATAGATTCGCCATGACTGTTCTAGAGGTTTACGTTGTTACAGAGATGGGTTGCAACCAAGGTTACCAGATGCGGCCTAGAAATCTCCTAGAATTACAGCTGATCGCCAGGCAACAGAAATCACTTGCCCCAGAGAAAATGGCGGCTCTGGAGCATTATAACCTGCTGAGGTCCTGCCTCTCCTCAAATAGTGCACTCCTCAGGCCCCACCCCCAAGTCTTCAGGAATTTCCCAACCTGGGCATGGCAACCCTAGCTGCCTCTGTTATCCTCTTCCGTAGTTTGGCAGACTACTGATTCAGCCTGGGCCTTAGTCTCTCTCTCTCTCTCACTATCGTAAGAAAATCCATGGCTTCTTCCTCCCAAGGTCTCCGGGGAACCCACATGGAACACGTCTATGATTTCTACAAGCCAGACTTGGCTTCGGAATATCCCATGGTGGACGGGCAGCTCTCCATCCAGTGTTATTTCCGAGCTCTGGATCGATGCTACGCTACATACCGCAAGAAGATTGAAAGCCAGTGGCAGAAAGGTCTGTACCAGAAGACCAACGAAATGTAAAGTAACCCCTTCCAGTACCTTTTCCCAATTCTGTCCTGGTGGGGATGAGTCTCTATAGAAGGTTCCAGAATCAGGAGTTATGCAGCGCATGTCTGAGGAAGTTCTACCTAGGGTTGCTGACCTCTAGGTGGTGCCTGGAGATCTCCTACTATCTGAACTCCAGGTGATAGAGATCAGTTCTGTGGGAGAAAATGTCTGCTTTGAAGAGTAGATTCTATGGCACTGTGTCCGGCTGAGGTCCCAACCCAGAGCTGGCAAGCTTAGTTGCACCTCATGGGCATGAGCTGCTATTTAGGAAAGATCCATCTCCTTGGGAGAACAAGAAACTGCCCATTCAAGAGGTTCATATTATACAGTGCTGCAGGTTGGATATGGGCAGCTTTTTCTCTCAGTCTTGACCAATTTTCCTCCTTACTACAACCTTCATCCCACGTGACTTTTGTCCATGCAAGTCCCATGATCCCCAGCCCAATCTTTATGGGGGTCAAAATGGACCCCCTCCTCCCCTTTCAGCTAGCTTATTTCCAACCTGTGTGCACAATTTACAATGAACTGGACTTTTTTGCACGTTCATGGTGACACAGTAGTAACTGAAAAGGTTAATTGCTGGAAAAGTTAACAGCCAATTCTGCTCAGTCATTGGAAGTCATTTTGTTTGATGTTAATGTTGATTTTTCTTTTTTACAATTATGGCATTCTCAGCATTTAATTGCTGTGGCAAAATGGCATCAGTCTATAGCTACTAACCCATACCACAGAATCAACTTCCTGTCTTCTCCAAATCTCCAAAAATTGTGGTTAGTCAAAGGTTACTAGGGATGGGCATGCCACATGAACCGTATTTTTGTGGTTCAGTACATGGTTGAACCACAAACCGAATCACAAACTGATACAAACCAGGAGGTTGGTTCGCTAACCAACCCGGTTCATATTGGTTCATGAGCCATTTAAAGCTTAAGCCTCTACGTTTGGAAGCAGTAGGAAGCGAATAGCAGCAGAGGGAAGGTAACAGGCTATGAGGGGGAGGGGACAAAGAACTCCATCTTTTCAGCCCAGCACAGGTCACATGAACACATGAGGAGCCATGACTCAGTGGCAGAGCAGCTGCTTGATGTGTGTAAGGCCCCAGGTTCAATCCCCAGCTTCTCCAGCTATAATGACCAAGTAGTAGGTGACATGAGAAACCTCTGAGACCCTGGAGAGCCAATGTCAGTCAGAGTAGACAATGGGCAGCTAAAATAAGTGTCCATGGCTTAGTGCTAGAGCATTTACTTTGCATGCAGAAGGTCCCAGGTTCAATCCCCAACATCTCCAGCTATAAAGACCAGGTAGTAGGTGACATGAAAGACCTATGTCTGGGACCCTGGAGAGTTGATAGTTGATACCGGTCACAGTAGACAATATTAACTTGGACAGAACATTGGGCATATTAAATAAGTTTCCATGGCTCAGCAGTAGAGCATCTACTTTGCATGCAGAAGGTCAAAGTTCAATCCCCAGCATCTCCAGTTGAAAAGACTTGGTAATAGGTGATGTGAAAGACCTCAGCCTGAGACCACGGAGAACCACTGGCAGTCCAAGTAGACAATCCTGACCTTGATAGATCAGTCTGAAGCAGTGTGTAAAGCAGCTTTGTGTGTTCATTATTTCCAGGTCCGTTGTAGTCTGAGGTTTCTGTTTCTTCCACCACTACCATCACCCTCTGTCCTGTCCCTGGCTGTGGTTCCTGGCTGGCTTTCCACTTTCTAACTTTTTACATCTTTCTCTTCCGAGGCAGCTGGTATTAACAAACGCTGCACTCTCGAAGACTTCCAGTTCATGATCTTCCACACACCCTTCTGTAAGCTGGTGCAGAAATCCCTGGCGCGGGTTGTGCTCAACGATTTCCTGGCCTCTTCCAGTCCTGATGTTGAGAGTGGAATCTACAAAGGGCTGCAGGATTTCAGGTCAGTGAGGCTTCAGGAGTCCCACATCTAGCAGTACAGGCAGAAGGAGTGGGGAAATGGAGAGTGAGATATTACAAAACTTGTAAAGGGGAACACTGATGAAAAAACTCATCAGTGGGTGTCATGACACTTCTGGGCGATGTGGTGGGAATTGTTGGTGTAAGATGATATTATGACACGATGCAAGATTGTATTTGGGTGTGTGTGTGTAGTACTTGGTTCCCTAAAGGGAAATGACATTTCATGGTCACAGTAATAATATCTTTTAGTTCTCATCCCTACCTGAGATGCAGCCTGAGCATATATCTCCACATTCTACTTGCCCTTCTGCAAGGCTTGAGCACAAGGGCTTGACTTACCATGTAAAGCACCATCTACACTGATGGAGGTGGTAAGTGCCATCAAACTGCACATGATTTTTAGCAACCCTGTAGGGCAGGGGTGTCAAACATGTGGCCCGGTGGCCGTATCAGGCCCCCGGAGGGCTTCTATCAGGCCCGCAATGGAACTGGCTGTCTTCTGCTTCTTCTTCCAATTCTGCTGCTGCAGCGTCGTCGTAGGTTTGCAGTTTACAGATACACACCTGAACAGCATACTCAAGACTGCAATAGCACAGACATTTTGATGCAGTAATTCAGAGCAAGAGGTGTCATCAGCCACTATTAAATAAACAAAATAGTGCAAGAGTGCTAATGTTTTAAGCATGTTTTTATTTTAAGTTTAAAAAACCCCTTTGTGTTTGTGTCCTTTATAAAGTTGATATCTCCGCTACCTGGCATTACATTTTAGGACACACATGGCCTGGCCCAACAAGGTCTCATTTAAGTCAGATCCGGCCCTTGTAACAAATGAGTTCAACGCCCCTGCCGTAGGGTTTTCAAGGCAAGAGATTAACAGAGGTGGTTTGCCATTGTCCGCCTCTAAATAGCAACCCAAAGTCTTCCTTGGTAGTCTCCCATCCAACTACTAACCCAGGCTGACCCTGCTTAGCTTCTGAGATCTGATGAGATCAGGCTAGCCTGGGTCATACAGGTCAGGGCTAATCTACATCTGTAGTGCTCGATAAATGAAAACACACCTTCTGAACAGATGGCCGTGGAGCTGTCAGCATTTCCACAAGAGGATGCACTGACTGAAATGCCATGTAAAACTGAAATGTAGTCAAGAAAAGCACAGAGACCATTCCCATTAGAAATAATTATCCCTAGTTTTGCTAAACCAGTTAACAGCTGTAATGACTCTGGAGGTCCAGGTCCTCATTAAACCTTTGGGTGATGGCCTCAGACTTCTTGATGAATTCTAATTAAGCAGTTTCACACAGGAGTCCCCCCCCCCCCTTGAAATGTTTTGCAGGGATGGAGAATGGTGCCATAGAGCAGGGGTGGCAAACATGCGGCCCGGGGGCCGGATCAGCCCCCCGGAGGGCTTCCACCAGGCCCGCAGTGGAACTGGCCATCTCCTGCTCTCAGCTCTGCTGCTGCTGCTGCATCACAGCTTGCTTCGCCAGACTCTCTTAATCACTCAGCCGTTTCATGTTTTAACCTGGGTCCTAGGCTCAGAATTCTGAGCATGAGATTTTTGTGGTGAATGTCATTAAATCAAAAGTAGGTTTGCAGCTTACGGAGCTAATGTTTTAAATTTAAAAAAACCAAACTCTTTGTGTCCTTTATAAAGTTTATATCTCCGCTACCTGGCATTACATTTTATGACACACATGGCCCGGCCCAACAAGGTCTCATTTATGTCAGATCCGGCCCTCATAACAAATGAGTTCGACACCCCTACCATAGAGCGTCTGGGGAGGTTGAAATGTCCCATCCCCCCCCCCCTCCCCGGGTTCCTGAATGTGGCCATTTTTCATGTCAGAAGTAGTACAACTCTACAAAAGAACACAGAACCCAAACCAACTCAAAGGAGTATTCATAAGCAACAGTGCCAGAGATACCTGCAGTTCTGGCTTTTCTTCCCTTGTAGGAATGTGAAATTAGAAGAAACTTACTCCAGCAAGGAGGTGGACAAGGCTTTCCAGAAGGCCAGCCAAGAGCTGTTCAAGCAGAAGACCCAACCTTCCCTCTTCCTCTCTGCTCGCAATGGAAACATGTACACACCGTCAGTGTACGGCTGCCTCGCATCTCTCCTCGCGCAGTAAGTTGCACCCTCTCCTCCCTCCAGGCACACAAGCCATGGCTGTCTCGTTCTCTCCAGCAACAGATGCTTCCCACTCAAGTGGGCCCACATCCATATGGGTGACGATACAGATGTTGCAAAAAAGTGAATATTTTTATGGCACAATAGATCTTGTTTAATCAGAAGTCATGGCCCTCTGCACTGCAAAACTGTATCCGACTGCCAAATGTTTACCCTCTGGAATGAAGGGGGGACAGCTGGTTTGTTTTGCTGTTACCCAGCCAGCAGGAGAACATGGTAATCTTCCAGGTCATTCCATTGCTGATCTAAGAGTGGCTGTCCTCAAACAGAGAAGTTTCAAGGGGAGATCACAACACGAGATTGCTGAACTTGAGTTAATTCACAAGTTCAAAACATGGAACCCCCCGGGCTGAATAGGGACGTAGGATTCTTATCTGTCTATAGATGCTAATTTTCTGCTCTAATCAAGCTAATTAATACGAAAGTTATACCTCTGTGTCCTGAGTTCCTACTTTGTAACACCACCCCTCCCACCTTTCAATTGGGATATAAGGACTCAGAGATCTCCATTCCAACCTGTATCTGATGAAGGGAGCTTTGACTCTCGAAAGCTTATACCCCAAAAATCTTCTTGGTCTTTTTTTGTTGCTACTGGACTTGAATCTAGCTGCCCAATAATGGGATTCTTCTTCCAGCCAAAGGGCAAGAGGCAATGAGCCAATTGTCATTAGCTTGAGATCTTGGTCCTCTGTTTCACATCCACCATTTCCTGAGGCATATACTCCTTCGTGTCCTTTCCAACATATAATTTCTCTTCCTAATTTCTTGTGATGATCACAGGACGTCACCTGAGTGAACCTGCAGCCTCTTTCAGAAGTAGGTTGGCTTCTTTGTACAGATGTGATCTTACAGGAGCACCAATGTTCAGCTTTATGGCAGTTTCTAGCTGTGTCTCGTCTTATTTAGTTCCAGCCAAAGGGGTTTTTGGTTCAGTAACTTTGACTTAACGGGTTCATTTGAATTGCTACAGGTACTCTGCTGAGCAGCTGGCTGGTTCCAGAATTGGGGTCTTCTCCTATGGTTCAGGCCTGGCAGCCAGCATGTTCTCCCTAAAGGCGTCTGAGAATTCTGCTCCAGGTGAGTTTCCTCTTGGAACAGAGCTTCCTTTTATCTTCTTCCCGAAGCTGTTTTGTCTTGGAGTACATGAAGACTCTTTTGGGTGCTGAGAGCAGGGCATAATAGGTCACACCCAGCAATGCAGCTCATTAGCATATTTGGCCACACCCCATGCCTTCCCTTGTTCTGCCCGGGCACCCCGCAGCTGTGGGGAGCCCAGACAAGCCCCCCCTTGAAGGGAAGGGAAGGCAGTTTAAACTGCCTTCCCTTGGCTTGCCCGGGGACGCCCGGCGCCCGGGCAAGTCGGCCCTTGGACAGGCTGGGGAAGGCATGGGGAGGCATTTAAATGCCTCCCCGATCCTTCCAGGGGCCCCCGTGGCCTGCCCGCCTCAGAGTCACCGGGGTGTGTGTGTCGCTCTCCAGGCCTTCCCTCTGTAGCCACACACGCAGAGGTTTTGGCTGTAGTGGGCGTGGCCAACTCTGAAGCCAGCCGGAACGCCGTTCCTGTCCATTCCTGCCCCCAAAATAGCCCTGGCTGAGAGGGTCAAATTGTGTGCTTCTTGCCCTGGGACCTGAGTAGGGTTGCCAGCCTCCAGCTGGGGCCTGGAGATCTCTTGGGATTGCAGCTGATCTCCTGGTAACAGAGGTCAGCTCCCCTGGAGAAAATGGCTGCTTTGGAGGGTGGACTCTTTGGCATTGCACCCCACTGAAGTCCCTCCTTTTCCCCAAACCCTGCCCAAGAAAGCTGCTGTTTGCCTAGGGCTGCCAGGTCCCACCAGCCACCGGTGGGGGACGGGGAGGTAGGTTGGCCAGATCCAGGTTGGGAAAATCATGGAGATTTGGGGGTGGAGCCTGGGGAGGACAGGGACCTCAGAGGGGTACAAGGACACAGCGTCCACCTTCCAAAGCATCCATTTCTCCAGAGGTACATCTCTGTAGTTTGGAGATGAGCTGTAATTCTGGAAGATCCCCAGGTTCCACCTGGTGGCTGGCACCCCTACGTTTGCCCCACTGGAGCGAACATACGGTTATCACTGACGGAAATGCCAGCATCTCGTCAGAAAATTCAGGCTACCTGAAAAGGAAGGCAAACTGCAGTTTTTAATGTGTGATTCTTCAGTGCTGTAACACTCCTTGGCCGTGAAGTATAAAGTGCTCCCTGGCCCCATCACTCATTCCAGAGATGCTGGTTAGTCTTCATGAAAGGTATTGCATGGGGTTTTTTTTAGATGTCACTCCAAGATGTGGCCATTGCCAGGGCTTTTAAAGAAAGGGGGGGGGGGGGAGGTGCCTGAACTCTCAAGAGGGAAATGAAGTTGTCCATTTGTATACTGAAAACTCATGAACTTCTAATCATTTAACAAAGAATTTTGTCGAAGAAGAAGAGAAGAGAAGAGAAGAGATTGGAGTTATACCCCGCCCTTCACTTGGAGTCTCAGAGCAGCTTACAAACTCCTTTCCCTTCCCCTCCCCACAACAGACACCCTGTGAGGTGGGTGGGGCTGAGAGAACTCTGACACAAACTGCTCTTTTTCAAGGACAGCTCTGACAGAGCTTGTGACTGACCCAAGGTCACATCAGCAGGTGCAAGTGGAGGAGTGGGGAATCAAACCCGGTTCTCCCAGATTAGAGTCCGCGCACTTAACCACTACACCAAACACTACACCATAGGTTCTGGAACTCGTTCTGGCGTGTTGCCCCAGGGGAAGAAAACAACAACCCTGGCCATTGCCACTCACACAATCAACATACTTAAAGCTGCCTTATACTAAACCAGGCTGTTGACCCATCAGGGTCAGTACAGTAGTGTCAGTACTGTCTACTCAGACTGGTAGTGGCTCTCTGGGATCTCAGGTGGGGATCTTTTGCATCACCTCCCACTTGATCCTCAACTGGAGGTGCCGGTGATTGAACCTGGGGCCCTCTGCATGCCAAGCTGAGGCTCTACCACTGAGGCACAACCCTTCTACACCAGCCTTCCTTACTACCTCCCCCCCGCCACACACATTCTTTGCGAGGGTAAATTCTAGGAGAAAGGAGTAGCAAGAGGAATATCTGGCAAAGCTTTCCCAGGTGCCCTAACTCCTGGGGAAAATCAACCTCAGAAAAATCAATCTGAGAATGACACAAGCCAGGGAAATCTGCCCACCACTTCTCCTGGTCCATCAGCCCCCCCCCCCCCCAAAAAAAAACTGGCAGGCAACTTCAGCACAGGCCGCATAGAAATATGGTGAACTCTGTGTTAGACTGGCAATTGCTGTTTCGCCTCTCTCTGAGGCAGATGCCTGTAGTGCCCCAAAGTGTGTTGCATAAGGGTCACCGGGAAGCTTTAGTTTTTGGATCTTCCTAGGTCTAGACACTTGAAAAAGCAGGTAGAAGGTATGGGACAGACCAGGTGATTCATTGTGGGCCAATCCATAAGTGGCCTGTAAGAGAAATTTTATTAACCCAGGGAAGGACAGACTCACACAGCTCAGAGGAACGATCTGATTTCTGCCATGGAATGTATGTGACCCTCTGTCTTGCAGGCTCCCCCCTGGAAAAGTTGGTCTCCAGCCTTTCTGATCTGGGGGCTCGGTTAGACTCCCGCAAATGTGTTCCACCAGAGAAATTTGCCGAGATGATGAAGATCAGAGAGGAAACTCATCATTTGGGTGAGCACAAGATAACAGAGGACAGATTTAATTTTTCCTGGAGTATGTATACGGCATCTGCTCAGTGCATCAGAGGGTCCCAAGACAAGCTTCCCTCTGTTGTTATCAAAGTTGCTGAGCTTTGTGAGGAGACAGTTGGTGGCTTTACTTGACAAAAAGATGGAATTTGGTTGGCTTTCCCAGCACACCAAAGCCTTCATTTTCCAGGCCACCAGTCACAGGTCAGGTAGAGCCAGGGGTGGGTCCCTGGAAAGCAGTCAAAGTCGAAGCAAGAGAGACCAAGTCAAGAGTCCAGTCCAAGAGTTCAGAGCCAAGAGGGCTGTTACCAAAGGGTTGTCCAAGAGGCATAGTCAAGCAGTCCAAGGGTTACTCATGAGCAAGAATCAAGCAGAACTAAAAGCCATAGTCAGAAACCAGTCCAAGGGTCACACAAGCAAGGCAGGTTCTGAGGCTGTGGTCACAGAGTCAATGGTAGAATAACGTGTTACCTCCACACCTAACAGACTCCCTTGGCTGTTTTTATAGGCAATGTGCCTAAGGGTTAAATTTGAAACCAACCACTCAGGAGTAATTCTGCAACTACTCAAGCAGCTGGCGTTGGGCCAGGAGGCCAGGAGGCGAGCACTCTGTCGACTCTCCTGTAGTTCTGCTCCTAGCCTCTGTCTGTCACTCAAAGGATGTGGGTGATACTGGGGGGCTGGGAACGATCAACTTAGTTTCACCTGTCAACTCAGGGCTGGAGACTGTCAGTGGCTCTGCACCAGCTGTTAGCTGTGACTCATGACCAACCTGCAGTTCCTCTTCCCGCTTGCTGGCTTCTGCTGACTCAGAGCTGGCTATACGTGGCTCCTCTTCTCCTGAGGAGTCCTCACTAAGCCCTGGCTGCCCCTCGACAGTATCTCTACTAGGTGTTTGCAGGAGAACCATAGTTTTCCAGAGCTGTCTTCCTCAATATCTTATACTTTCATCTCCTGGGGACCTGAACTGTCTGCCATCAGCAAACATGGTGGACCAATCAATGCCCAAAATCTACACAGAACGGCATGAGGATAACTGTCTCCCCAGTCCCTCCTCTACATACTTACCTCTTACTCTGTCTTTCTTCAGTGGACCACACTCCCCATGGGTTGAGCAGTGACCTGTTTCCAGGGACCTGGTACTTGGAACGAGTGGATGAGAAGAACCGCCGGAAGTATGCTTGGAGAACACTGTAGGAGAGGAAGAAGCTGCCATCCCAGTAGGTAAGGCTCCTGGGCAGAAGAAGCCATTATGGAAGAGAAGTATGAATGGGTGGGATGTCACATGGTGAAACAGATAGACGGTGCATGACTTTTTGGCAAGGGGACCACCCGTCCTCCTGGCCTTTGTCTTACTCTCAAGAGAACCCTTCTCCAGGGACATCAAGAGCAGCCTCTCTTGGTCACTTCCTTTCAGACTGAGAAAATTTTGCCAGAAGCCATAAGAAGGTTGGGGAAACGTCTTTCAGCTTTTAACCTGAGATGTCCCCTTTGTTTTTAGTGCTTCAGCATTTTGTTTTCCCTCCCTGCTTTTTTCTCTCTCAAATAGTCCAGCAGTGGCTTTCAGCCAAGGGGTCACATCATCCCGGCTTTTCGTACGCTGATCTGTTTGTGGCCGAAAAGAAAGGAACAAGGCCCAGAGCGGGGCCAGTAAGAGCAGAGGAGCTGTTCATCTTCCAGTTTGCTGTGGTAGTTAGGAGCATTGACTCTAATCTGGAAGAACCGGGTTTGATTCCCCACTCCTCCACATGCAGCTGCTGGTGTGACCTTGGGTCAGTTACAAGTTCTCTCAAGAGCTGTTCTCTCAAGAGCAGTTCTCAAAAGAGCTCTCTCAGCCCCACCTCCCTCACAGGGTGTCCGTTGTGTGGTGGGGAAGGGAAAGAGCCGCTCTGAGACTCCTTCGGGTAGTGAAGGGCGGGGTATAAATCCAATCTCCTCCTCCTCCTCCTCCTCCTCCTCTCTATTTATTTAATTGCAATTATACCCTGCTCCATTTCCTGCCAAGCAGGGATCAGGGCGGCTTACAACAATCAAGATACAATACTTCAGCATATTACAATTTTAAAATCCACGTCATTATAAAAAGTTAAAACCTAAGACTTCTTCACTACATCAGATGGTGCCCTAATATCCATCACAGGTGGACAAGCGGGGGCAGCCAGTACAGAGAAGAAAAGGGGAAAGGGGGTAAAGAGACGGAAGGGTAAAAGGGGAGGCCAGCAGATCTCTCTCTGACCATTGCTGTCCTCAGCCATATGCCTGGTGGAACATCTTGGTCTTACAGGCCCTGTGGAATCGAACCAAGTCCCGCAGGGCCCGAGTCTCATTAGATAGTGTTCCGCCAGATTCGGGCCAGGGCTGAAAGGTTGAGGACAGTTGGACTGTTCTGGCATTTTGTGTTCCTTGATGTGTGTAAACCCTTATTTTTAAAAAATGAACCTGCTCTCTGCCACGCTGGTCCATATTGCCTCAGCCAGTCTGTTGGGGTTGAAGGAGGCGATGGAGCTTCTCTTGGGAGACAACTGGCCTAGATGAACTGCAGTCTTTTCCATCTCTCTCTTTGGGCTTCTGTCACTGTGATCTCTCAATTTGTGGGATTGGCCATGATTTCCTAAGCAGCAGGATTAAAAGGCCGATTGTGCCAGGCTCCTTTCTGAGGCCCAGGATACAGGAGGAGGTGTGACCATTGGTTGGGCCTTGATGAGCCCTTGGGCTCTTTCAGCATTTTAAGAAAGAGTAGTGGACACCACCACAAAATGGCTGCCACAGGACAGGTCTCATGACAAGTATCCTCCTGTTTTGGGGCAGCTGTTTCCAAAAGGGTGCTCCCTGCAGACACAAATTCTTCTGAGGCACCTCCTGCTCCGGTGAAGTGGAGGAAAGCTGTTTGCATTGGAGAAAATGGATTTTGGGGGGAAAGCAAGTGTGCACTGGAAATAGTTTATCACTCTACTCTGCTCTGGTTAGACCTCACCTAGAGTATTGTGTTCCGTTTGGGGCACCATAGTTTAAGAAGGATAGAGACAAGCTGGAATGTGTCCAGAGGAGGGCAACGAAGATGGTGAGGGGTCTGGAGACCAAGTCCTATGAGGAAAGGTTGAAGGAGCTGGGTATGTTTAGCCTGGAGAGGAGATGATTGAGAGGGGATATGATAACTATCTTCAAGTACTTAAAGGGCTGCCATATAGAAGATGGTGCAGAGTTGTTTTCTGTTGCCCCAGAAGATAGGACCAGAACCAATGGGTTGAAACAAATCAAAAGAACTTTCGGCTAAACATTAGGAAGAACTTCCTGACAGAGCGGTTATTCCTCAATGGAGCAGGCTTCCTCAGGAGGTGGTGGGCTCTCCTTCTTTGGAGGTTTTTAAACTGAGGCTAGATGGCCATCTGACAGCAATGCTGATTCTGTAAACTGAGCCAGATCATGAGAGGTAGGGCAGGAAGGGTTGCCCCAGTGTTTAGTTCTTGTGGCCCTTTCTTACATGCCCAGGGAAGTGCTGATTGCCACTTTGGGGTCAGGAAGCAATTTTTCTCCAGGCCAGTTTGGTCAGGGATCCTGGAGGGTTTTTTGCCATCTTCTGGGCATGGAGCAGGGGTCACTGAGGGTGTGGAGGGGGAGGTATTTGTGAATTTCCTGCATTGTGCAGGGGGTTGGACTACATGACCATGGAGGTCCCTTCCAACTCTATGATTCTATAAACACCATGGGCACCATACCATCTTAGTGGAGCTGAAGGAGGCAGAAGGGACCACTATTAGCCACTTTTCCAGACTTTCTTTCTCTTCCCTCACAGACTCTTTCGTACAGAGATAAAGGCTTTACCATCAGGAAACACAGCAAGCAAACTGTCTGAAGATGGCCTCTGGGTCACAGTGATGTAGACTGACTGGCTTGCCTGTACGACTGTGCTCCCTGGTTGTCTCCGGAAGAGGCATCTACCTTTTTCTTTATCATCATTTTGGACTACATACTTTGCTGGGTTGTGAAAGGTTTGCATGGGTACATCATGTATGTTGACATTGATAAAGTTATTGAGCAGAAGGAGTGGGAATTATTTTTGTGACAATTCTACCCAACAGACACCATGCCTTTCGGATCCACATCTTCGTGCTCAAACGCTTTGTTAGCTTCATCCTCCTCCCATCTAATCCTCCTTTTGGCTCTTGATGGAGTTTTGGTTTTGTACAGCTTGAAAGATAATAAAAGAATAAAGCAGGAAGCTGTTCTGTGCAGAGCTGTAGTGTGCTTTATGTCTGATAATGTTGGGCAAATCAAAACAAAGCCCGGGAAGAGACATGGTTGACATGAGACAGAAGCTCTTCAGGATTCTCCTCCTCCAAAAAATAGCTTGAGGGCTAGCAGCCCCTCCCAGTCAGAAAGCACCAGTGAAAGAAGCCCAATCAATGGGAGAGGGCCCCCAGAGAAGTAAGCCCCTTATCACTTCAGTTTAAGCAATACCCATTTGAGACTTATCCTATCATACAGTAATAGAGCTGTCCATCAGTTTGGTGTCGTGGCTAAGTGCGCGGACTCTAATCTGGGAGAACCGGGTTTGATTCCCCACTCCTCCACTTGCACCTGGCTGGATGACCTTGGGCAAGCCATAGTTCTGGCACAGCTGTCCTAAGCGGTTTCTGTCAGAGCTCTCTCAGCCCCACCTACCTCACAGGGTGTCTGTTGTGGAGAGGGGAAGGGAAAGGAGTTTGTAAGCTGCTCTGAGATACCTTTGGGTAGTGAAGGGCGGGGTATAAATCCAATCTCCTCTTCTTCTTCATCAGGTCAGTGCAAAGTAGGTAGCCTAGCCTCCTGCCCTAAAAGAAGTATGTTTTAGAGTAGAGCTTCCCAGCTTTGTCAGACTTGCGGACACTTTTGGAATTTACGTACTGGAACAAGTAGTGGGCACCATAATAAAATGGCTGCCATGTGGGCTGGATCCGATGACGGAACATTAGAAAGTTCTATTAAAAACATTGGGAGGTTCCAAGACAAGCATCCTCCATTGATGGAAGCAACTGTTGCAGAATGGGTGGTCCACAGAAGCCATGCCTCCTGGGATTTTTCAGAAGCACTTCCTGTTTCAGGGTGGTAGAGGAAAGCCAGGATTGGCTGGACGGCTTTGAGGAAGAAATTATTTGGGGAGGAAGCGGGGGGGGGGGCACCACGTTGAAGACGACTGCTTTAGGGTGGTGTTTCCTCAGTCCCTCTGCCGTCTTTCGCGTGACCATGTTTCGCTGCACTTAAGCGGCAGTGAGATAGCGGCCCTTGCCTGAGTGTGAAGATCCCAGTCCTTGGGTCATCCAGCTAGTTAGCAGGTGATCTCTTGAGCGACCACCAACCAGTTCTTCCAGGTTCTGGACTCAGTCGTGAACCACATTCTTGGGCTCCGTTTCCAGCCACACCCACGGCTTCCTCCCTATCACTTCTGTGCTATCCCCACACTTTAAAGCCCAAGACTGGTGGCTGGGGTAGCTACATCCAGCCGGAGAAAGGGCAGCCATTTTTGCAAAGTTCCAGGAGGGTTGCCATGTCGGTCAGCAGTAGGAGAGCTCGTTCCGAGTCCAGTCACACCTCAAAGGCCAACAAGATATTTTTTGAGCCGTAGAAAAGTGCAAGAGCCCCAGTAGCACCTTCAAGACTAACAAAATACATGGCAGGGTAGGAGCTTTCGTGAGTCACTGCTCACTTCTTTGAATACCTTCAGATCTGAAGTCGTGAGCAGCGACTCACAGAAGCTCATACCTGCCACCTATTTTGTTAGTCTGGAAGGTGCTGCTGGGCTCTTGCCCTTTTCTACTGCTGCAGACAGACGAACACGGTCGGCTACCCATCAAGATTTTTGAGGTGTAAGATTTCGAAAGTCAAAGCTTATGCCCCGAAAACCTCATCGGTCTCTAAGGCGCTACTGGACTTGAATGCCACTTTTGCAAAACCGCCCTCCTGTGGCTTGCCTCGATGTAGAGGACATTTGTTATGTATTTGGCAAGAAGTGAAACCCTCCATGTCGGGTCTGTGACCAAGTTGTCACTCACACGGTGCTGACAAAATGGACCATTTGCAGGACAGCAGGAGGAAAGCAGGCACAGGATAGACAGGAGCCTTCCTGAATTACAGGCGTGAAGACGTAATGGCAGAGTGATAGTCATCAGCAGGATGATCAGATCAGACAGAAACTAAGCCACTGATAGGTTTTAGCCCATTGTTCAATCTTTTACCCAGGGCTTTTTTTGTAGAAAAAGCCCAGCAGGAACTCATTAGCATAATAGGCCATACCCAACAGCAGAAACTCATTAGCATATTAGGCCACACCCGACAGTACAGCTCATTCGTATATTAGGCCACACCCCCATGTTACCAGAAGTGTGGTCATCCAGGCACACCCACCTTTTTCTTCTTATTCTCTTTACCTTGTTTGTTGACAAAACCCAGGGCTTTTTTTTGGAGCAGGAACTCCTTTGCATGTTAGGCCACACACCCTAATTGTAGCCAATCCTAATGAGTTTCTGCTGTTGGGTGTGGCCTATTATGCTAATTAGTTCCTGCTGGGCGCGGCCAACTTGGGAGCCAGCCGGAACTCCGTTCCTGTGCGTTCCTGCCCCAAAATAGCCCTGCTTTCACCTGAAATCAAGGTGCTTGTGGCAGAGAGCTTCTCCGGTCCTTTCCGGCCCCAAGAGGAGGTCCTGGTGGCATCACATTCCAACTAGCAACATCTTTCTCCTCTCACACAATGCCCCACATTCTGATGAAGATAACAAAGCCTGCCTCTAAGGCACCTCCTTCCCACCCCAATCCTTCCTCCCTTTCCTTATGTGGAGAACTTCCCTCTGCCACAGCACCAACTTGATTGGAAAGCTGGACTTCTCAAGTTTAGGAAACACTGGAGAACCAGTGTCGTGGTTAAGAGAGGCGGACTCTAATCCAGAGAACCAAGTTGGATTCCCCACTCCTCCTCTACAGGGAGCCTGCTGAGTGACCTTGGGCCAGTCACAGTTTTCTCAGGACTCTCTCAGCCCCACCTACCTCACAAGGTGCCTGTTGAGGGAGAGGAAGGGAAGGCGATTGTGAGACTCCTTTGGGTAGAGAAAAGCAAGGGGGGAAAACCTACTCTTCTTCATTACCTAGAATTCCTCTTTCCTTATATCTGGAGCTGCAGTGGTCCTTCCAACTCATGTTCGGTAGTTGGATCTTTAGACATTTTGCTGTGTCGCATATCCAAGTCCCATGTTAGTCCTGTCTTGTTTAGCAGAGGGCATGCATTTTGTCCTGGATATATCACAGAACTTTTGACCTGGATCTTTGCTTAGGCCCTTCTGCATGGGTACAGTTCGGGAAAGGGGCCCATTCATACCAAACACTTCTCTAACATGCGCCATGCACTGATCCCACATAGTCACGGCAAGAAGGAAGAAGACAGGGGCCTAAGAGCTAGTGCCCATCACAGCAGACCCTTCTGGTCTAGTTAGACTGTGGTGTAACTCAGTAGAAAACCAGCTTTGCATTGGTGATCCACACAGACGCCTTCAGCTAATGCTGCCAACTTTGGACCACCTACATCCACAATTTTTCAGGACAATTACTGCTTTATTTAGTCTAGTTTCCAACTCCGTTTAGCAGCTTGGATGCAACATGAATGTCTACAAACCTACCTCCACGGTGAAAACAGAAAGATGAAAACCCCTAAAGTTTCGTGGCACATTGCCCATTCACATGTAACCCTAGGATGTTTCCAGAAATTGTTTGGTTTCAAACAACTGAGACAAGACAACAAAGGGAGTAGTAGACTAGGAAGACCTAAGTTCAAATCCCTACTAGGCTTCAAAGCTCAAGGGGAGGGCTTCCAGTTTCTGTCGCACCAATTTTGGATGGTCCCGGGAGACTCTCCCAAGGAACCACCGAATCTCCAGGTTTTTAGCGGGGTCGAAGCCCCGGACCTCATTGAGTCTTCCCTGAGGGAGGCTCATTGCAGGGAGCTTGATCTGGGGGCTGTTGCATGTGGCAGCACACGAGTAGACACCAGATCGCTCCAACGCGAGAACCTAGGAGAGAGCACTCAATGGCAGACATTGGGTGCGTTCAGACGCGGTGTTTCAGCCGGCATAAACTGTACCGGTTGGAACCGGTGCAGTTTATGCCGGCTGAAACGCAATCACACTCACCTCCATTTTGCGGACCCCATCGCTGTATGCCCGCTCACAAGCTGCGGGCGTCGGCTTTTTTTTTTTAAACTCAGTTTGAGCATGCGCATAGGCAGCCATCCACAGAATGGCGATCTTTGCACATGCTCAAAACACCCCGTATTACATTTAAACTTTAAAGGTAAGGACTTACCTTTAAAGTTTAAAGACCAAACTGGCCTCCCTTAAGTCCCGGACTCCTCCGATACGCTACACTAAGGGCTTATTTTTTTTAAAAAAACAAAAAACGCTCAGGGCGAAGCTTCACCCAAGCGCATATCGCTTAGTGAAAAAAAATGGCGGGGGGAAATCGGAAGCCTCAGGATTCCGAACGGAAGTGGCTAGGCACCGGTGGAGAGTGATCAGACGGAGGGGTACAGCGATTGCAACCGTTGCACTCATGATACCACCACTTGGGGACCTAGTGGCAGAGTGCAACGGTTTAAAGGCCTTTACAACGGTTAGGGACGGGAGGCAGATGTTCGCCGTGTGAACGCCGGTAAGTACACTGGTTGGAACCGGCACCTATACCGTTGTAAAGCCCCCGTCTGAACGCACCCATTGAGTGCTAAGGCGTCATCAACCGATTCTAAGGAGTCTTTCCTACCTGTAGAGAAGAAATAAAATTGTTCTACAGCACCGTGAGTCCTTGGGTTATACAATATTGACTTTCTATGGAAGAGCTGATGTCCCTTTAAACTTTAAAGCTACGGCCTATAAGGAAAAGGAGGGGTGGTCCCCCCCTTCCCTGCGCATTCACATGTAGCCCTAGGATGTTTCCAAAAATCGTTTAGTTTCAGACAACTGAGATGAGACAACAAAGAGAGCAGTAGACTAGGAAGGCCTAAGTCCAAATCCCTACTTGGCCTCAAAGCTCAATGGGTGATTCTGTGGCCAAAAAGGACAATTGCTACCTCTCAACCTACTACCATAGATCCAGTGTGAGATTTAAGTGTGGGGGGTTGCCTTGAAGGATCTAAAAGAATACTTAGAAAAGTATTGGGAAGTAAAAAAACAATTTGTTTAGTTTTAATAATTATTAATCATAGAATGCTTGGGAGATAGGATATGTTAAAAATTAATTACTATCGTGAAATAATAGTTACCTAGTGAATTACAAAAAGAAAATTGTTGTTGTAAAAATTAAGAAAGAGATGGGCAGGAGGTCGAAGCACTGTGGGAAGCCATATATTAGGGAGGGGAAAAGGGAGGTGGGTAGGGTATGAAAGGGACAAATGTAAAAAATTTAATGTTGATTATGAATGTTTATATCCTAAATTTAAAAAAAAATTGACACAAAAAAAATAAGGTTAGGACAGAACTATGATACATAGATAAGGGTCCAGGGTATGAAGGGTGCTCCACATTGTACAGTCCAGTGTTGAATTCTGGGCATGCAGAAGTCCTGCACCAGAGGTATGCAAACAAAGGAGTGTGGCAGGGTAACTGCTCCCACCCCATCAACATTAGTATAACTTATAGGTCACACAGTCAACACTGAAGGGCAGGGGCATGGGAAATACCCCCTCTCCCTTCCCAAAATGTCATAACTCATTCTGGATAGTTTCAAGGGACAACAGACACAAGGGCAAGGGGATTATGGGAAGATGACTGCCAGCGGATTTTTTTCCTCCCCTCCTGTTGCAGGTACTTAAAACCTGAGCAGAGGATATAAGCTTTTTGGCAAGAGCCAAAGGACCCTTGACTAGGTGTGTGTATTCGATATATCTGAGCCAAAAATGTAAAAAAAAAAAATCCCGAATCCCAATACCATGCTGGTATTGAGATTCAGGAACACCACTATTTTGGGGGTTCAATATACCCGAACCCAAAAAACACTGATATTTTTGTACAACCCTACTCTTGTCTTTGACAGCCAGTTTGTTTGGTGTAGTGGTTAAGTGGGTGGGCTCTAATCTGGGAGAACCAGGTCTGATTCCCCACTCCTCCACTTGCACCTGCTGGATGACCTTGGGCAAGCCATAGTTCTGGCACAGCTGTTCTTGAAAAAGAGCAGTTTCTGTCAGAGCTCACTCAGCCCCAGCTACCTCACAGGGTGTCTGTTGTGGGGAGGGGAAGGGAAAGGAGTTTGTAAGCCCCTCTGAGACACCTTTGGGTAGTGAAGGGCGGGGTATAAATCCAATCTCTTCTTCTTCTTTGGCTTTTAGCTATGGACCACCCCGCTGGATACCAGACCAGGATGTTCAATGTATCTTTGGGGATTTTTGTTTCTCCTGTTTGTTTACTGACATTGTATTTTACATTGTATTTGGTTTATTTCAATTGTTTGTGCATTTCAAGTGCACTCACAGTTTGCATAAGCAACGGTGGTGGTGGTGGAGGAGGAGGAGATTGGATTTATACCCCGCCCTTCACTCAAGAGTCTCAGAGCGGCTTACAAACTCCTTCCCCTTCCCCTTTCCCTTCCCCTCCCCACAACAACCACTCTGTGAGGTAGGTGGGGCTGAGAGAGCTCTTTCCAGAACTGGTCTTGAGAGGACAGCTCTGACAGAACTATGGCTTGCCCAAGGTCATCCAGCAGGTTCAAGTGGAGGAGTGGGGAATCAAACCCAGTTCTACCAGATAAGAGTCCGCGCACTTAACCACTACACCCAACTGGCATACGGAGTAAATATAAGGGGTAAGGGAAAAAGATAAGAAAACAAAATTATAAAAACACAACACAGATAAGTGATTCCCAGAATATATAAATAAATAACAACAACTCCCGGTGACCTCTTTATTGAGATATTGGAATGTTACGTTCAAGGACACTTGCTGGAACTTGCAACGGACTTTGCTTTGCTGGGATCTCCGCCAGCGGCCTACAAAGCAACCTGAGCGACTTCCGAGACGTGCTGCTTCAGCTCTTGCAGGCTCGGCAGGGCGGAAGAGAGGCCCAGGATGCTCCACTCCTCTCCAGCCACGGGGCCCGAGTGGTGGTAGGACAGCAGCTCCACTCTGGCCTTCCCCAACAGACCTTCAAAAGAGAGGAACACTCAGTTTGCATATCCTCAGAGATGGGTGCGACTGATCCCAGGCCTCTGTTCTTACAGAAAGGACATGTTCTTTACTCACATTTTGGGGAGAAAGACAGGTTGAGAAACATTTTAAATAAAGAAACCAAAATTGCCAGGGCTAGAGGAAGAACATTCTGTCCTTTAAGAGAGGCTTTACAAGACATTATTTACTGGAGATGTTATTGTTCCATGCCACGAACAGCTTTCATTACTGGTTTCCATAACGTCAACCAGAGAGCCAGTTTGGTGTAGTGGTTAAGTGTGCGGACTCTAATCTGGGAGAACCGGCTTTGATTCCCCACTCCTCCACTTGCACCTGGCTGGATGACCTTGGGCAAGCCAGCTCGTGAGGGTTAGCATTAGCTGACTATCAGTGGTTTGAAGTTTCTACGTAAACTGATGGTGGCAGCAATGCCTGGCCAGCACATTCCGGTGCTCTTGGGGCGGGGAAAGTTTAGCGGTGGGCCTAGGCAGAGTAAGGGAAGGGTGCGGAGAAGTAGGATGGCTCGGCACCTTTCCAGCCTACGGCCCATCCCAAGGGTTGTCGGCAGTGGGGCCAGGATTGAGAACCCCCCTCCATCATTGGTGTAGTGCAACGCCAGGTCAATTAACAATAAGACCACAGTCCTTCGGGAGTTTATACTGTAACAACGGGTTGACCTGGCGTGCATGACCGAGACCTGGGTGCGGGATGGGGAGACCATGTCTCTCACCCAGTTGGCCCCACCAGGTTTCTCGGTCCTTCACCAATCACGGACTAGGGGGCGGGGGGGGGGGGGGAGTGGCTATCTTCATTCGGGAGGCTTACTCCTTCAGGGCGCTCCCACCCGCTGAGATCATGGGTATAGAGTGTGTCAGTCTGATGTTGGAGGGTGGGCTATAAATTTGAACAAACAAACAAATAAATAAATAGTTCTGACAAGAGCTGTCCTTGAAAGAGCTCTTCTTGAAAGAGCTCTCTCAGCCCCACCTACCTCACAGGGTGTCTGTTGTGGGGAGGGGAAGGGAAAGGAATTTGTAAGCTGCTCTGAGACTCCGAGTGAAGGGCAGGGTATAAATCCAATCTCTTCTTCTTCTTCTATTTAAAGGAACAGGACACTTTTCTCCAGGCCTGTTGGCAACCCTAGCTAGCAGTCTTCCTGGGGGGGGGGTTCCCAGACAGATTTTAATCACCTGCTCTGGCTCAAACTCCTCACAAGAAGCAGAGCTCATTTCTTCACTTGACTACCACGGTCCCTCTTTCTCTTCCACTCAGAAGCTCCTCCCTGCATCCTCTCCCTCTCTCCCAAGGATCACGTCGTTCAATTAGATCCAAGTGTTAAAATGTCTTCCTCAACCACGTCCCCCACCTGTCCCTCCTTAGGCGCTTTCAACCTTCTCTTTAATCTTGGAGACATGGTTCCCAACATCCCATCCAAATCCTCCAGCCACCAAACCGTGGCAGCTACGATCACGAATCATTCTCATGCTGGCGGAAACTGGTCTCGAGTCAGTCAACGTAAGGCAACGCCCATTGAGTTTTTGAGGCAAGAGACGAATGGAGGTGGCTTGCCATGGCCTGCTTCTGCGTAGCAACCCTGAACTTCCTGGGTGGTCTCCCATCCAAATTCTAACCAGAGCCAACTCTGCTTAGCTTCCAAGATCCAATGAGATCGGGCTAGCTTGGACTGTCCACATCAAGGGCAACCATTCCCACGCATCCTACATCATTCCCCCAAAAGCTAAACCCTCATTCCTCTCCAAGCCAGGACACAAGAGAGCAGTCTTTCACTGCTATCCTGGACTCCAGGCAATGTTGCACGGGTACCAAAGATGCTGTACTAGTCACCTCTGGAACAGCATCACCAACGGCAGCAGTGCAAGGTGGTGGTGACATTAAAATGGCAAACCCCCAGGTGCAGAAGGGGCTCAAGTTTCCAGCAGAAAATACACTTTTGAGAAAGCAAGAAGGCCTTTTGCCCACGGCAAAGGTGTTCTTTTCCCTGATCCCATTTGGTAAGACAGGCCTCTCCAGTCCCGGTTAATAGACAGTCATAGCTTAGAGAGGATGCCTCTCCCTTACCAGTGATGGTTGACAACAGACCGGGGTTGGAGGCTTTGGATCTGTAGAACAGCAACGTGCCGGCGAGGGGAACACGCTGCTTGAAGACGGCTCCGTTGAGTTCATGGAGGACCAGCATGCTGCCTTGCACGGAGCCAACCAAACTGGAGGGGGAGCCCTGGGCAGCAATTTGCAGCAGCCCGTCTTCACTGCTCAGTGTCCCGTCACCGTGTGTGGCGGTGATCTGCAAAGAAATGAAGAAGACAGAGTTAGATGCTTAGGAGTGTCCATCCTTCTACTGGAGAAGACAGGTTCCAGGCCCTCCCTCCCAGGCCCAGCTTGACCATCCATGCAGTTGTTATAGTGCTGGCCTAGGATCTGGGAGACCCATGTTCAAATCCCCACTCTGCCATGGCCTCTCTGGATAGGCCAGGCTAGCCCGATCTTGTCAGATCTCGGAAGCTAAGCAGGGTTGGCCCCGGTTAGTATTTGGATGGGCGACCTCCAAGGAATACCAGGGGCGTGATGCAGAGGCAGGCAATGGCAAACCACCTCTGAAACGTTTCTTCCCTTAAAAACTAGTCTAGCTCGCCACCTAGTGATGCATAACTCTAAAAGAGCTAGAACTTCTGGCTGCCAGACAATCTTAGGATCTCCTGGCTGTACTATACACACTGCCATACAATAATAATGATAATGATAATAATAATCTGGGTAGCCTTGGGCCAGTCACACACTCTCAGCTTAACTTACCTCACAGGGTTATTGTGAGGATGAAACAGAAGGAAGCGGAATTACATAAGCCGCTTTAGGTTCCCATTGGGGAGAAAGGCAAGAGTATAAATGAAGTAAAGAAATTAAGTTAAGTTCTTGCCTGACACGGAAGGCAGAGTGATAACCAGGCCTACAGCTGTTTTCTTGACACAGGTTCTGTCACAACTGCACCACAGGTAAAAATTCAACCGGTGTAGCCCTCTTCTGCCCATCCTTGTGCCACAGAAGCTATACCCACTGAAGTTCTGCCAACTGCATGCTTATAAAGTCTCAAACCCTGAGTTGGCCTCCTCTCCCAAGCAGACAAGCAAGATGGCCCACAGAGATATCACAGTGGATGGCCTTGCAGCTGTGTGAAGGTTCCCCAGTGAACCAGACTTTGGACCCAGGAGAGTGCCGCGTACCTTCAGCCCAGCCTCCTGTGCTAGGAGCAGCCCGTTCACAAGGTTCACATCCTTCTGCGCCGTCTCTTTAAGGAGCCCCATTGCCACGGCGGGGATCAAGTAACTGCTAGCCTTCTGCAAAGCTGGTCCTAAGGAAAATTACAGAGGATGACTGTGTCACTGCAGGTGCCTGGAAACAGTCTCTTCCCTTTCCTTGCCACCCAGTCCCAAGGCTAAAAGGTCGGGGAAGGGCCGTGGCTCAGTGGTGGCGCATCTGCTTGGCATGCAGAAGGTCCCAGGTTCAAGCTCTGGCCTCTCCAGTTAAAAAGTTCAGGCAGTAGGTGATTTGAAAGACCTCTGTCTGAGACCCTGGAAATCTGCTGCCAGTCCAAGTAGACGATACAGACCTTGATGGAGCAAAGGTCAGATTCAGTATAACGGCAGCTTCATGTGTGTCCTACCATTCAACAGACCGAAGTCCCTGATCGAAGACTAAACTACAACCAGCCGCAGACGTCTCCAGTTGCAGGACCATGAACTGCCTCCTCTTACTGTAGTGTATTCAATAGCTGTCGTTGAATACCTAAACATGTATGCGAATCACATCATAGAAACGCAATGTTAAGCTTCGTCCTGGGCTAGGATCCTCATGCACCCAATCGCATGGCTAGCCCAGGAAGAACCAACCAATCGCACATCAGCAAGCTCCCTGAATGGGAACATCGATGATTGGTCATTATGAAGACAATCTCATTGGTTGATAATGTACAGTAAGGGCGTGGCTATATTAGCCGGGAGAGTTTAAAAAGGGAACAACTCTAATGCAAAAGCTGTTCTGGTTATCTGATGTTGATCCGTGTTGGAGTTGTGTTCGAGTTGAAGAATAAAGTTGTGTTCTTTGCTGAATCACTCTCCGACTTATTTGTTAAGCGAGCGACTTAACACTTACCATCTCCACTCCTCCACAGAGACAGGAGGCAGCAGTCCCCTGATAGGTTTGCCAGTTCTTCTTTCCTTTTTTTTTTAAAAAAAACTGTCCCAAAAAGTAACAAAGTTAGGAGACCGGACTCTAATCTGGGAGAACTGGGTTTGATTCCCCACTTCTCCACATGCAACTGCTGGTGTGACCTTGGGTCAGTCACAAGTTCTTTCAGAGCTGTTCCCTCAAGAGCAGTCCTCGAAAGAGCTCTCTCAGCCCCACCTACCTCACAGGGTGTCTGTTGTGGGGAGGGGAAGGGAAAGGGATTGTAAGCCGCTCAGAGACTCCTTCGGCTAGTGAAAGGCGGGGTATAAATCCAATCTCTTCTTCTCCTCCTCCTACTTTGAACAGTAGTCCAATGCACAGAAATTAAGCAAGCAAAGCTCTTCCTGCCACTTGAGACAAAGTGATAGGAAAGTTTCCTTTGCTTAATCGGCAGGTGACTGTTAAAGCGGGGCCAATAAAAAGGCAACCTGCCCCAACAGAAGTAGCAGTGGAAAGCACTGGAGGAAAACCTCTTCTGCTTTTAAATGCAATTGGGAACCCACACGAGCACAAGAAGTTGCCTTATACAGAGTGAGACCTTTGGTCTCTCAAGGTCAGACTCGTCTACTTTGACTAGCAGCTCTCCGGGATCTCAGGCTGAGATCTTTACTACCTTTTAGCCAGAGAGGCTGTATGCCACAATATACTCCACAACTGACTCGTGGCTCCTTGCATAGGCCGCCTATCAAATCTATCAAGATCAGAACTCTCTGCTCTGATTGGCAGTGGTTCCCCTGGGTCTCAGGTGGAGATCTTTCCCCGTCACCTATTAAAAGGTAAAGGTTCCCTTGCTCGAAAGCCAGTCGAATCCGACTCTAGGGTTGCGGTGCTCATCTCCGTTTCAAAGCCGAAGAGCCAGCGCTGTCCGAAGACGTTTCCGTGCCCATGTGGCCGGCATGACTAAACACCTAGGCGCACGGAACGCTGTTACCTTTCCCACCGAAGTGGTACCTATTTATCTACTTGCAATTTCTTGCTTTTGAACTGCTAGGTTGGCAGGAGCTGGAACTAGAGAAGGGAGCTCACTCCGTCATGAGGCACCCGGGTCTTGAACTGCTGAACTACCGACTTTCCACAGCCTGCAGCTCAGCGTCTTAACCACTTGAGCCACCGCAGCTCTATTACCTGTTCTTTCATCTCCATCACCTATTACCTGACCTTTTAAACTGGAGCTACCAGTGACTGAATCCGGGAATCTTCTGCATGCAAAGCAGATGCTCCTTCACTGAGCCACAGGTCCCGCACAGTGCAACTGGCTCTCTCCTCCGAGTAAGTGGGAGCCAAACAGCCTGTCTCTAAAGCAGCTAAGACTGACAATGATTTACAGCCAAGTGTAGAGGAGGTCTTATGTCAAACCCCTGACCAAAGGGCCCTTAAGAACATAAGAAAACATAAGAGAAGCCAATGTTGGGTCAGGCCAATGGCCCATCTAGTCCAACGCTCTTGGCCAAAAATACCGTGTGCCATCAGGAGGTCCACCAGTGGGGCCAGGAAACTAGAAGCCCTCCCACTGTTGCCCCCCCCCCAAGCACCAAGAATACAGTGCATCACTTGCCCCAGCCTGAGAGTTCCTATCTATACCTTGTGGCTAATAGCCACTGATGGACTATGGGTAATGGCAGCCCAGAATGGGCACACTTGACAGAGGTAAAATGAGCACACGGAAGAATTGCTGGAAGGTCGCAGAGGAAAAGCTGGTGGTCTACAGCAGAGGTTTTTAAAGGGGGGTGGCACGCAGGAAGAAGAAATGCTCATCCAAAAGCCAAAGTGGAGAAAGAACTGGGAGGGGGGGGGATGTTAGTGCTTCTGGCAGATCAAGGAGCAAAATCAGCAGGGCTGTGTGTATTCCATAAAAATAAAGGATGGGGCACTGGACACAGAACTCAGCAGGCTCAGCATCTCAAGTTCTCATGTCTGTTATAAAGCAAGATCCCTAGTATGGCTGCAAGTATAGGTTTAAAAAGTGCATGGGGAATAGGTGCAGAACGCAGTTCCCCAACGTGGTGCCTCTGGGCACCATGTTGCCTGCCAACAGCTTTCTTGGTGCCTGCCAAATGCTTTAAGTGGGCAGGGCTAGGTGGGGGCTTTTGCCCAGCAGGGCTTCTAATTGGCTGTGCGGATAAAAAGGCACCCTGTTAAACAGGGCTTCTGCCTGAGAGTTACTATATGTATATAAACAAACTCATCCCCTGACGTTTTGTGGTTGGCTCTGCCCCCTGCGGCAGCCATGTTATCATTGGCTCCACCTCCTGCGGCAGCCATTTTGTGATTGGGCCCACTGCCCCGTGTCAGAATTCTAAAGGTGGAGACCCCTGGTGTAGACACTTCAAGGGGGAGTGTATTGGGTGATGGCTTTCTGACCTTTCTCTTATTCGTAAAAAAGCAGAATGAGATTTTGAAGTAAAAATATGCCATGTTTCATTTGCAGGTTTTCAACAGGCTGCAAACTCTGGATGTTTCTCTACAGAGGATTTAGGAGACTTGCAAACACAGAGGACACACCGCCCTGCAGGTAAAGGAAGATGAGAGAGCAAAGCCAGAAAAGGCAAAGAGTCTTCTGTGCGAGAAGCTAAAAATGTGAAGCTACTCCTGCGCATTCCTGGATCTCTCATCTCACCGCGGGTGACCACCTGCACGCCTCTGTTCACTTGCTGGGTCAGGGCGCGCAGCACAGCACCCAGAGCTCTGGCCAACGTGATCCATGGCTTTGAATGGGGTGCGTATGCGCTGCTGAGAGCTTGCCCATTCACCTGAGGAAAGGAAGAACAGGAGCATGAGACGGCATCACGGAGGTCTGGCCTCTAACAAAGAGACATCCCCTGGATCCGAGGATTCCGTTCACAGACTGCTGGCAACGACCCCCTTCTCGCGGTGAGATTTCTCCATGCCAAGCTTCCTCCTTCAAGGGAGACTTGGGGTGCAAGAGTTTAACCAGCCTGGTGGTGGAAGGTGCCGTTGAGTCACAGGCAACTTGCGGCGACCCCACCAGAGTTTCAAGGCAAGAAGCGAACAGAGGTGGTTTGCCATTGCCTTCCTCTGCCTAGCAGCTCTGAAATTCCTTGGTGGTCTCTCATCCAGTCCTAACCAGGGTTGACCCTGCTTAGCTTCCAAGATCCGACGAGATTGGGCTAGGCCACGCTATCCAGGTCAGGGCTACAATGGTTGTAGAAAGGTGTGACTCTGCTTAGAACGGTGCTATAAAATTTAGGACTGGTTGCTCTCCCATCCCTCCCATTCCACCAGCTCTACCTGTTTGTCTCTGCCTTAAAAAAAAACCAATTACTTAAAACTGCCCAAAAGTTGGTCCTTGCCAAAATCTGAACATGCTGTTGTACAAGCTGGCTCAAGTCTTTTGTGAGCAAACCTGGCACTCTACGATACTGCCAAGTGCCATCGCAGGCTAGTTCAGCTGTGTGGTGCTGCATTTGGTTTCATCTAGCCAGCCTTGTGCTACTTAATACACCTCGCAAAGCTTCATTTTGCAAAGCAAGGTCAGCTTTGCTAAACCTAAGTTGCTATGAGATTTACGGAAAAAGAAGCAAACAAAAAAGAAGAAAAAGAAGAAGACATTATACATCTGCAGTTTCTAAGAACTTGACTAGATCTCAAATTGCAGAAAACTATCTACCAGTCAAATATCTGACTGTGATCATTCATAATAATAATGTCAATGCTAACGTGTTGCAAGACAGGCCCCAAAGAGACAGTAACAGAACATCACTAGTGGTCACATACAGCTCTCTGTGGCCAAAATAGTTCAACGTATTATCAGCAACTTACAACCTCTACTGGATAATGACAGTTTTCTTTCAGAAGTACTGGGGGCAAACCTTTTCTTGCCCACAGACAGCCCACCAATACCAAACAACAACTCACCCACAATAATATAGCATCTAATTTGAGCATGGACACTGGCACTAGAGCTTGCAGTAAACCCAGATGCCAACTTTGCTGCCACATACACCCAGACAACACAATCACTGGAACTTACAGCATCAACTACACCATCTCAGACTCATTTGCTTGCTCATCTTCTAACACTGTATATGACATTATATGTCAACAATACCCTTCAGTTCTCTACATAGGCTAACAGGTCAAACCCTATGCCAAAGGATAAATGCATTCAAATCTGACATCAAGAATCACAAAACTGAGAAACTTGTAGGAGAACACTCCAACCTCCCAGGATACTCAATGGGAGACCTCAAAGTAGCTGTTTTATTGCAAAAGACTTTCAGGAACAGACTAGAATGGGAAATTGTTGAGTTAACTTTAAGAAATGGGAGAACATGAATTTATCACTGATGGGAAGAATTTCAGTTATCAAAATGAATGTCCTACCACGTTTGATGTTTTTGTTCCAAACGATACCAATATTGAATAAGACAGACTTGCTGACCAAGTGGCAGCAAGAGATATCAAAGTTCGTTTGGGGAGGCAAGAAACCAAGAATCAAGATGAAAATACTTTGTGATGCCAAAGAAAGAGGAGGGTTGCAGCTACCAAACCTAAGACTTTATTATGTTTAACATGGATGGAAGAATGGGTAAAATTAAAAAATAACAGGCTTTTAAGTTTGGAGGGTCATGACTGTAGGTTTGGGTGGCATGCATATTTATGGTATGGTAAGGTAAAAATGGACAGCTTTTTTAAGCATCACCTGGTAAGAAAAGCATTGTATGTAACTTGGTTGAGACATAAAAAATATTTTCGTGACGTAAGGCCACTCTGGATTGTACCAGAGGAAGTTTTAACACCTTACTCAAGACAGCAAGGTAAAGACTGGTTGCCATACAAAGACTTAATTAAAAAAGAGGGGACAGAATGGGTAATGAAAAAGCAGAATGAACTTGACTTTAATTATGAATGGTTAAGGTATATGCAGATTTATGATTTGTTTAAGACAGATAAAAAAATTATGGATTTACAGAGGAGAAAAATGAAATGGAGAGCATTTGGGAAAGAGGAGGGGAAAAAAGATTTCAAATATGTATAAAGTTTTGCTAAAATGGTATACGGAAGAGGAGACAGTTAAAGAGCAAATGTTAAAGTGGCAAATTACTATGTACAAAGAGGTGACGATGGACTCATGGGAATATTTGTGGAAAAATTCTATTAAAATATCGATCTGTACCAATGTTAAAGAAAACTGTTATAAAATGATGTATAGATGGTACATGACTCCGAAAAAAATAGCAAATATGAATCAAAATATCTCTAATAAATGTTGAAAATGTAAAAAACATGAAGGCTCATTTTACCATATGTGGTGGACTTGTGAAAAAGCTGTGGACTTTTGGACAAAAATTCATAGTGAAATGCAGAAGATATTACAATGCTCCTTTAAAAAAGAACCGGAAATTCTGCTTTTGGGATTAAAAATGGAAGAAGTTAATGTGGAAAAAAGAACTTTATTCTGGTACCTAATAACGACAGCAAGAATGCTATATGCGCAATATTGGAAACTTGGAAAAGTACCAGAAATTGAAGACTGGATACATAAAGTTCTGTTCATGGCAGAAATGGATAAAATTACTAAGAAACTGAACAACAAAGAAGATGAAGAATTCTTTGAAGAATGGAAGGACTTTAAGAACTATCTGGAAAAGAACTGGGATGTGAAAAAAAAACTTACTATGTTTAGAACAATATTAAGCAAAAAGTTGTTATCTTTTAAAGAGATTAGAAATACAATATTAGCAACTGATGAAATATATATAAGTAAGGGGAAGGGGGTGAAAGCATTGCGGGAAGCCACAGGAGGGGGGATGGAGTATGGGTTATAGGCTAAGTAATTGTTTATGTATGCTTGAAAGAAAAGTTTTAATGGATAAATGGGGAATACCTATGACTGGAAAATAATAAAACTTTGTTTACCAACAAGTTATTACAGCACTCAGTTGTTACAACACTAAGGACAATGGAATCCCCAGGGCTTAACAGAGATTTCGCTTTCTTACCTCACTACACATGCTAATGTCATTCAGTCCTCGTATTTGTTTGTAAACTTTTATTATGCTGTATGCTAATCTGCTGCTATTCACAGGTTCTACCAATTGCCTTAATCCAAATTTAGCTACACTTGGTGCTATTCATGGGTTTTACCAATTGCCTTAATCCAATCTGAGCTCTAATTGGCCCTTCCTGGCAACATCCTCCTCACCCACTACCTATATGTAATGGTTGGTGACTCAGTTTCAATGTATCTGAAGAAGTGCACGTGCACGCGAAAGCTTATCCCCAGAATAAAGCTTTGTTGGTTTTAAAGGTGCCACTGGATTCAAAAGTTTCTTCTGTTGATTCTAACGGATATTGCAAGAGATGCTTTGTCCCAAATAAAGAAACAATACGAGACTGACCGTTACAGTGAGAACAAGAAGGAATCTAGCAGCACCTTAAGGACTAACAATGTTAAAGAGTTCACTATTTCATCTGCAATGAGAGGAACCTTTTACGTAGGTTTGAAAAAACACAAAAGGGCCAAGGAGCCACAAAAATGGAGGAAGGACAGAGTAAAATATAATAATACAATATAATTATAGGAATTTCAAACCATATCAGAATAAAAGACAGACCATCCACCGGTTGGACGAAGCTAGTTAACACTTCTGATGGGTGACTGGTTTTTGTTAAAACAGTCGCAGTTATAGTACAGCCCTATAGTACAGCAAAGCCCTATAGCAGACCTATAGTACAGCAAAGACTCTAAAGATTATGTGAACACTTATGATGATTAATAGTACCAGCCTAAGCCAACTTGCCCGATCTCGTTAGATCTTGGAAGCCAAGCAGAGTCGGCTGTGGTTAGTACTTGGATGGGAGACCACCAAAGATGTCCGGGGTTGCTATGCGTTGGCAGGCAATGGCAAACGACCTCTGGACGTCTCTTGCTTTGAAAACGCTACAGGGTCGCCATACGTCCGCTGCGACTTGACAGAACTTTCCACCACCAAGTGGACTTACCACCTTTCTAAGTCCATTGACTTGCAGTGGACCGAGAAGGGTGCATTTCTGCTTAAGAGTGCCCTGTTTAAAAGGGCTATGCAACGGATGAGTAATGCCCTGTTAACAACTGATTGACAGGAGCAATTTAGGAAGAGGAAGACTCACCGCGCCGGTCAGGGCCTTGCCCTGGGCCAAGTCCACAATCTGCAGGGCGATCTCCCTGCCGCAGCGGTTCTGCGCTTCCCTGGTGCTGGCCCCCAGGTGGGGACAGCTGATCACATTGGGGTGGTTCACCAAGGCCTTGTCCTTGGGTGGCTCCTGGAAGGGGGGGGGGGAAGGAACAGCCAAGCCAAGTTACACCAAGACCGGCACCTTTCCTGCAAGAGGCCCTAGTAACACTTCACTGGTGAGGCCGCCCATACGGCACAGACCGCCAATGATTTGGGCAACGCCTCTGGGAAACCCACCAGGAGAAGAATGGGCGCTGGTGCAGTAGGGCAGGGGGCAGACTGGAGGGCGTTTGCTCTTTCTATGCTACATAGAAGCAGGGTGAGGCTCCAGGAACTATGCACTATGCAGGATTGGTTCCAGGTTTTGGGGGGGCCTGGCCTAGGGTTACCAACCTCCAGGTCAGGCCTGAAGATCTCCTGCTATCGCAACTGATCTCCAGACAATAGAGATCAGTTCCTCTGGAGAGCAGGGCTGCTTTCGAAGGTGGACTGTATGGCCTCGTACCCTGCTGAGGTCCCTCCCCTCCCCAAACTCCACCTTTCCCCTGGCTCCACCCCCAAAATCTCCAGGTATTTCCCAACCCAAACCTGGCAACTCTAGCCTGGGCAGGCAGTGCCCGGGGGCCCCATCTGTCCATCACCAGCCCCCCCCCCCAATTCCGGTTTGGTGTAGTGGTTAAATGCACAGACTCTAATCTGGGAGAACCGGGTTTGATTCCCCACTTCTCCACTTGCAGCAGTTGGATGACCTTGGGCAAGCCATAGTTCTGTCAGAGCTGTTCTTGAAAAAGAGCAGTTTCTGTCAGAGCTCTCTCAGCCCCACCTACCTCACAGGGTGTCTGTTGTGGGGAGGGGAAGGGAAAGGAGTTTGTAACCCGCTCTGAGACTCTAAGTGAAGGGCGGGGGGATAAATCCAATCTCTTCTTCTTCTTCCTTTCCACCCTTTCATGCCCCCAACTGCCCTTGCACCCTTCTTCTACTTGCAAGCAATGTCCCCTCTAAGCTGTGGAGTCTTGTGAGCAAAAATCCTACTTTGTGAGCTCCTGGCATTAAAGTTGTGAGCAAGTGATTTCGCTACTGCATAAATTAGTTTGCTCTGGAGCCATCCTTCCTGAGCGGAGACAAAAATGTATGAGCTGCAGGCTAAAAAACTGTGAGCTAGCTCACACTAACTCAGCTTAGAGGGAACACTGCTTGCAAGCCCTCCCACCGTCCATGCAACCGCCCACACCACCTGCACACCCTTTCCCTGACAGCACTGGCCAGTGTCTCCAGCTGGGAGTGCCGCAGCCGTTGCCACTAGGAGTGCCACCACTGTGCACCACCCACATGCCCTTCTTCAATGACACTTGGCAGTTCGGAGAACGGGTACAGACAGGGTCCTGCCACACATCCTCTGCCCCAGAAGCTGCCCCACCTCAGGGTACGCTGACACCGGCCCTGGCACTATTTCACTATGCCAAGGGTCTCCAGTCTTTTTCGGCCTGTGGGCACCTTTGGAATTCTGACACAGCACAGTGGAAACAACCACAAAACGGCTGCCACAAAATAGCTCCTGCAACTTTATCTTTAGCCATGCAAGGAAGAACCTTGTGCTGTGATGGTTGCTGTTGGCAAAGAAACATTTTAAGAAATGTGCACTGCCAATCAAATCTCAAGTGGCCAGTCGGAAGACTTGCTGGGCAAAAGCCCCATGTGGCCTCACCCACTTTCTAAAAATGCTTGGTGGGCACCAGAAAAGATGTTGGCAGGGGAAATAGTGCCCATGAACACCATGCTGGGGACTCCTGCACTACTAAAAGGTAAAGGTCTCCCTTTCTTGAAAGCTAGTTGAATCCAACTCTAGAGGGCAGTGCTCATCTCCATTTCCAAGCCGAAGAGCCAGCGCTGTCCGAAGACATTTCTGTGTTCATGTGGCCGGCATGACTAAACACCGAGGTGCATGGAACACAGTTACCTTCCCACGGTAACTGGTGGTACCTATTTATCTACTTGCAATTTCTCACTTTACTATTATTCTTACTTTAAATGTATTAATCACCCAGTCCCTGCTACTGCAGGGCTCTAGGCGATGTACAATATGAATAAAAACACACACCAGATAAAACACTTAAAACCAAACAGCACATTTTAAAACAGGTGGCAAACAAATTAATCCCATATCAGATTGCCGGCCACTTTGTGGGCAGGGGGGAAGGGGGTAAGGCAAATGCAGAGAGCGGAAGAGGGTGCCGGCCAAGATGAAAACGGTTGATGTCCTCAACCAAAAGCCTGAGCAGTAGGATATGTGAGACGTTCCAGATATCCTAGTTTCCCTGCTCCAAACGCTTCCATCTCCAGGACTAGCACCTTGCAGAGAGCTGTTCATGGCAGAAGATTGTGAAAAGCTAATCTGTGCAAAGGTACTTTCACCTGGCAGCCCTGCCCGATCATGGAAAATCCAAAAGTAAGCTGGGTTCTTGGGCAACTAAACCTTCTCCCACCTTCAGGCCTACTCCCCAGCCACGAGAGATTCCAGGGGTGCGGGTGGGGCATAAGCACCCAGGCCATCTCACCTCTGTGAATACATCAAGGCCTGCTCCCCCACACTGGCCGGACTGCAGAGCCCGCAGGAGGGCCCCCTCGTCCACAATGCCCCCTCTGGCACAGTTGATCACCTGGACCCCACGCCGGCACAGAGCAAACGTCGTGTCATTCAGCAGCCCTAAAAGAAAAAGAATAGTTGAATTTAGACCCCACCCTTCACTCGGAGTCTCAGAGCAGCTTACCTTTCCTTTCTCTCCCCACAACGGACACCCTGTGAGGTAGGTGGGGCCGAGAGAGCTCTGTGGAAGACAGCAGTGGAAGCAGAGGGCACTGAAGCCCCACCCACCCAAACAATACACAAATCTGCTCCTGATCCAGTCCAGACACTGCACTCCAACCCCAGGGAGCTCCCCCACCTTTATCCAGATTTGATTTTAGGATTCATTTCCATGAAGACAGCATGCAAAAATGGAACTGGGTACTATCCTGAGAGCCTCAGTTTTAAAAAAACCCAAACATGTTTGTAGCCCTCAAGGGGCTGCAAATGTATAAGACACACCTGATAATATCTTCAAAGTCAGGGCAGGGTTTCTTCACATCCATGAGCTGTCCACTCCACTCCCAGAAGCAACTGACTCCCACCCTCAGGAAAGCTGCAGATTTCCACAGCTGCAGATTTCTCTTTCCTGCCTCCTTGTGCCATATTGCCCTGCTTCTTGGCGGCTTTCCAGAAGAAAGCATTCAATCTCCTGCAAGGATTTGTCCAACAGGTCACATGATCTCTTGCAAACCCAAACAGAGCGCCCCCTACCTGTGGTGGAAGGAAGAAGCGGCGTGTGAACTGTGATGAAGTCGCACAGGGGCCAGATCTGTTCCAAAGGCAGCTGTTGAACGCCAAATGCAGCCGATTCCTCGGGAGTGATGATGGGGTCATAGCCTATGGTCTAAAGATACAGAGGAGGAGGTGGAGAGTTGGATTTGCTTACAATCTCCTTCCCTTCCTCTCCCCACAACAGACACCCTGTGAGGTAGGTGCGGCTGAGAGAGCTCTTTCAAGAACTGCTCTCAGAGAACTTTGACTGACCCACGGTCACCCAGCAGCTGCCCGTGGAGGACTGGGGAATCAAACCTAGTTCAGATTAGAGTCCGCTGCTCTTAACCACTACACCAAACTGGAAGGACAAATTCTTCAAGTATGGCTTGGACCTCGACACTCATACAGGGTACCAACAGCCCTTCAGAGAAAATTAAGCCCAGGGCAACGGAGCGGAACAACCAGATGCATCTCCTCCACTGACCATATGGCTGACCAGCTGAACGTTCTTCTTACCTTCATGCCGAAAGACTGCATTCGGATGGCCACTTCTCGTCCAATCCTGCCCAGTCCTAGGATGCCTAAGGTCTTCTCTTGAAGCTCCATCCCCATGAACTAGGACAGAAGAGGTGTCCGGCTGTGAGTTAGGTGTTGACCCCACCCTGTGAGTAGGTGTTGACCCTTTCTTGACCCCACCCCCAGTGATGGAGAAGGCACCGGTCTCTTACCTTCTTGCGGTCCCATTTTCCCTCCTTCATCGAGGCGGCGGCCTGCGGGATTTGCCTGGAATGATAAATCGCCATTGTAGCAGGAATAGAATCAGACATGGGTGCAAGTCAAAGGCACAGGTTACATAAATGGCTGCTTTAAAGATTTTGTTTTTATTTAAAGCACTCAAAGTCTTTCAGGTAAGTGCAGCTGTCTGCCTGTCGTAACTCTGGTTAGTCATGATAGGCTGCCCCTAAAGGTAACCCAGAAACTGAAGCTGGTTTACAACGCCGGACTATTGGGAGGGGCTGTGGCTCAGTGGCAGAGCATCTGCTTGGCATGCAAAAGGTCTCTGGTAGGGATGTGCATTTGGTTCGTCTGAACCGAATGCACCCACGAAAATGGCCCATTGAGGCCCCTTTCGGGCTGCTGCAGGCCGATTCAGATTCTCTGATCTGAATTAGCTTGCCAACCGAATTTTGGCAGCAATTCGACCCCATTATATCCTATGGGCCATTGAAGTCAATGGTGAAAACATAGGGTATATTCTGGGGGCTGGAGAGGAGGGGGTTTGAGGGAGAGGCTCCAAACTCACAGGGTAGCTGCTGGGGCCTCTCCCCTAGACACTCACCGAGTTTTAATAACGTTAAACCAGGGGGTCCAATTCTACAAGCCCCCAAACAGGTTGCCCCCATCCCCACCATTGTTCTCTACATTGGGGAAAAAGTAACTTTTTCCCACCATAGAAAACAATGGAGGGGATGGGGGCAACCTGTTTGGGGGGCCATAAAATTGGACCCCCTGGTCCAATGTTCTTGAAACTTGGTGGTATCTTGGGGAGAGGCCCCAGCAGCTACCCTGTGAGTTTGGAGCCTCTCCCCCTCCCCTCCAGGCCCTAGAATATACCCTATGTTTTCGCCACTGACTTCAATGGCCCATAGGATATAATGGGGCCGAAATTGACATTTGGCTGGCGGACCCCCCCCCCCATGGCTGGTACTGCCGAAATTGACATGTGGGAGTCTTTCTGCAGGCCGAAATTGATTCTGCCCAATTCGGCCGAATCCGAATCGGGCCGAATTATTATTATTTTCTTGCACACCCCTAGTCCCTGGTTCAATCTCCAGTTGAAAAGTTCAGGAAGTGGCTGATGTGAAAGACCTCTTTGCCTGAGTCCCTGGAGAGCTGCTGCCAGTCTGAGTAGACAATACTGACACTGATGGACCAAGAGTCTGATTAAGTATAAGGCAGCTTCCTGTATCCTATTGTCAGGGATTATAAGACAGGACAATACCACACCTATTTTAGAACACCTACACAGGCTGCTAACTTGTTTCTGAGTCCAAATCAAGGTGCCGTTTATGGCCTTTAAAGCCCTTCGTGGCCCTAGAACCCATTTACCTAAAGGATTGTCACTTGCCGCATGTCCTCCTGCACCCGCTGCGGTCTTCTGCTTTCCACTTGCCAGCTGACCCCCTACTGAGGGTGGCCTGTTTGGTTTTATTGAGCGGTGGTGGAAGGCGCTGTCAAGTCACAGCTGACTTATGGCAACCCTGTAAGGTCTTCAAGGCAAGAGACGTTCAGAGGTGGTCTGCCGTTGCCTGCCTCTGCGTCACGACCCTGGTCTTCCTTGAAGATCTCCCATCTAAGTACTATCCAGGGCCGATCCTGCTTAGCTTCCAAGCTCCGAAAAGATCGGGTTAGCCTGAGCTATCCAGGCCAGGGCACTTCCTTGGGGCTTTCATGTAGATTTTTAAATTTGAGTTTGTAAGCCACTATAAGCGATGGGGAAATGCAGGATATAAATATTTTAAGAAACTTTAAGAAAATTACTGAGATGGTCTGCAGTCCTGACCCTACGGTGGAAGGCTGCATGGTGCAGAGAAGCTCAAAAGGTCATTTAGTTGGCCCCAGGAGTCAGACGAGCCGGGCTTTCTACTGTGCATCATCTGCACTGGGGACTCTGTAGGGATCAGCAGAGCTGTACCGGAGAAATCAGGGCTCAGCCAAACTCAAGGAGACACGGAGAAGGTAGAAGCACATCATGTGGAAATGCACGCAACAAAACCCTGACCGCTGGGTGATTGCCAGTCCCCTGCATGGGTAAATGGTTTGAAGGGGTCATTTTCAGTAGAAGAACAGCAAGTACGGGAAATATTAGGCATCCTGCGCTGTGTTCCCCACCACCATCGAAAAGCTAACTTTCTACACAAGCAACTGTTCTAGTTTGGACTCATACATTTCTGTGTAATGCGTTGTCCTGCCCAGAACCGGAGGAACGGCAAGGTCTTCCAAGTGCTCTGGGCCAGAAGTTCAGAGGCAACTGCAGATCAAACCAAATGTGCAAAGTGGTTTCCAATTCTGTCTTATCTATCGGAGGAAGAATACATACCTCCATCTTGGAAAGACTACTTGAAATGGTTCTGAAAACCCATATCATAAAGCATTGCTCAGTCGCAACTGGATCAGGGTTTTCATGTAGCAAGGTCATTTAAAACGTTTTAAGTCGAACATCAACAAAGAATCTCTACATAATCGCTTGTAACAGTGACTCTTGATTGTATAGTATCCTCAAGCTATATACTTGTAATAATGCTTTTTTTAATGTACAATGTTTCAATTTTTCTCCAATATGCTTAATGCAGATTTGCTCAAAAAAGCATTTACTTACAAATTACCTACTCTGAAATGTTTATTACAGAAATTGTTGTATTTGTTAATATTCTGAATATATAATAAAAAAAATTAAATTAAAAAGGGGGGGGGGGAACCCAAATGTGCCATGTGCTATTGAGAGGCCCCATTCTTCCTTTCAGGCCACTTACCTGGCTAGGCTCAGGATCATCCCACACGTCAGCTCCGCTGCACTGAGGCTGTTGCCAGTAGGTGTGCTGTGGAGCACAGCAGAAAATAAAGAGAGTTAGATTTCATGCCCGAAATACCATGGCTCCACAGCTTGCAAAAGATTCCAGGTTGCCTTGGGCCAAGCAAAGAAAGCCTTCCCTCCTAAGAGGAGTCGGAGCAGTAAGTGCCTGAGCAATTTGGAACATGCTGAGGCACTTATTTGAAGCTCTACGTCCTCATGTTAAGACCCGGCATCACAAGCTTGCCCTGGGACTGAGGCTATGGCGAGGCTTTCCCATATCTCATGTATCTGATTCTGCTGCACTAGCGCTACAGGTTCTGCTTTACCCACAAGAGGTTATAACAGCTCCTCAGAAAAGCGTCCAGCTCTACAGTTCAGTGCTAAACTCAAAAGTGCAGTGTGCCATTGTAACAAGATACTTTACTTCTGCAGCCAGTCAGAGAATCTGGGCTACACAGTTCTAAAGGAATTAACGTATTATAACATTTGTTGTGTGGGTTAAATGCCATCAAGTGGGTTCTGACTTCTGGCAACCCTATGAATGAATGGCCTCCAAAACCTCATATCATTAGAAAATTTAGCATCAGATATAAATTTAGCATCAGATATCTCCAGGATCTATCTGAAAAAAGCTGTCTATCAGCCTTTAAATTCTGATCGTAAGAATAAAATGAATGTGAGTTCCGTTCGTTGAACTAAGACCAGCAAACCAGGCAGTAAACCTTCAGCCGCCCTGAGCTCGCCTCGGCGGGGAGGCCGGGATAGAAGTTGAATAAATAAATAAATAAAATATTTTATTGGAAAAAAGAAATAATTATCTTTATTAGGGGAGATGTTAGAAAATACAAGCATGTGAAAACTAACCCTATAGCTACTGCAAAGGCAAGTGCCAAATTCATCAGATCTCCTAACATTTCTTAGCCGTATTACAGTAAGTAAATAGCTTTCAGGTTATTGTCTTAAAACTGCTCTTAGGAATTTTCCTGTAAAGCCAAGCAACACAGAGTAAATCTCACCTAATCTCTTCTGTGAGTTCCATCCAGAGATATCTGATTTGCTTATCACTTCAAAGCATTTTTATAGAAAGATATCTTACCCTAAATCTCTTCTTAAACATACGATTATTATCTAGATAAATGATTGGTTCTTAACTAATTATGACATAAACATGATGCATCTACATTTGATATGTCCTCATTACCTTTTCTAAAGGAAGATAAAGCCAAACTTAACTCTCAATATCTAACTTAATATCTAATACCTAACTTAATAATGCCTTAATAGCAATATATCTAATGTTTCTTTTACTGTTTTAATTAGCTGCCCAAGATAAAAGAGAAACCTTATGCAATCAGAGTTCGCCAGTAGGTCAACCTATCCTTCTATATTATTACTGCAATATCAAGCTTGCCCTAACTAAAGCCAGGGCTTTCTCGGTGGCGGCTCCTACCTGGTGGAATGAGCTCCCGGCGGAGGTCCGGGCCCTGCGGGACCTGGTACAGTTCCGCAGGGCCTGCAAGACGGAGCTCTTCTGCCAGGCTTTCGAGTAGGAGCCGCCGCCGTCGCCACGTTACCACCACCGTGGCTTGATTTACTATCTCCCTGGCTTAAAGGGGCAAGGGTTGTTGCTGTCCCAAGAGGAATATTACCCTGGCGCTCCTGTTTCTTCGTTTACCATCGGCCGCCAGTGAGGGACATCGACCATCTTGAAGTTTTAAAATTGAATTGTAGAGCACCATTTTAGTTTAATTTGTTAAGGTTTTAATGTAATTTATGTTTTATCTCCGGCGTAGCCGCTTGTTTGCCGCCCTGGGCCGTAAGGGTAGGGCGGGATATAAATCTCAAAAATAAATAAAAATAAATAAATAAATAATTTATCTGCATCCTGCTTTCCCTCCCCCAATGAGGACCTGAAGCAGCTTATACTGCTCTCCCCTCCTCCATTTTATCCTTCTAAACCCAACCCTGTGAAGTAGGTTGGACCAAGAAAGAGTGACTGGCCCAAGGCCACCCAGTGCATTTCCATGGCAGAGATTTGAACCTGGGCATCCCAGATCCCAGTCTGATATTCTGAGCACTACACCGCTCTGGATCTCCAGTTTTTTAACAACACTAAAACAACCATTGAAAATTAAATAGGAAGTAGCTTAGCATGCAAAGTGAAAAGCAGTACTTAATTCCCATCCCAGTCAGGAAATGATAAGGAATGCTGTAGCTAGTCTGTCAAAAGACCAGGCTAGCCTGATCCCATCAGATCTCAGAAGCTAAGCAGGGTCGGCCCTGGCTAGTAATTGGAAGGGCAACATCCAAGGAATACCAAGGTCATGACGCAGAGGCAGGCATTGGCAAACCACCTCTGAAATGTCTCTTGCCTTAAAAACAAGTCTAGCTCACCACCTAGTGGTGCAAAATGCTAAAAGAGCTAGAACTTCTACCTGCCAGACAATACTAGGATCTCTTGGCTATTCTACACACACTCGTACGATAATTATTATTATTAGTCTGTCAAAGAAAATGGGAATTAACTAATTAAGCTGAAAGCAGGAAGAACAGGTGGAAATTTTAAAGGGGCAGGTGCCCTGATAAACTCAATCCAGTTTTACTATAGCAATTCCAAACTTTTTAGAAGAGTAGAGGATAAGCAACTAGAAGAGAATACAGAGCCTGTTGAGGGAGGAGGAGGAGGAGGAGGAGGAGGAGGAGGAGGAGAAGAGGAAAAGATTGGATTTATACCCCGCCCTTCACTCGGAGTCTCAGAGCAGCTTACAATCACCTTCCCCTTCCCCTCCCCCCAACAGCCACCCTGTGAGGTAGGTGGGGCTGAGAGAGCTCTTTTGAGGACTGCTCCTGAGAGAACAGCTCTGAAAGAACTTGTAACTGACCCAAGGTCACACCAGCAGCTGCATGTGGAGGAGTGGGGAATCAAACCTGGGTCTCTCCTAACCACCGTACCAAACTGGCTGCCACTACTCTTGCTATGAGAAAGAAGCTCTGACAAGAGAGGTCCCCCTGGATTCTCAAGAAGTTATTCTGCCCTTCCTCTATACCCCTATCACTACTACTCCCAGACCTCCACTGATCTCTGGCACTCCACCTGGGAGGCAGAATCCTGCCTTACTTCATAACGAGGACCCCCTTCCTCGTCGCAGCGTCCACATCCACGTTATCGACTCCGGTGCCAGCCCTCCCAATGACCTGCAGCTTCTCGGCGGCATCGATGATGTCAGCGGTCACTTTTGTCGCCGAGCGGACAATGAGCCCATCGCAGTCCTGAAGGGACACAAGCAGAGTGACCCAAAGGCTTGTTGAGAGACTTTGAAAGCCCACAGTTTCCAAAAGCATTGTACCACTGCCTGAAGCCTCTGCCCCGCCTCCCTCCCCAACCCGCAGGGACAGTGGGCAGTGCCACAAATGGCACCCTCAGCACTCTGGGATTAGAATTCTGCACCGAGCCGAATTTCAAAACTACTTTAAATCATGCAAATGAAGCAAAACCGCACAAAGTTACTTTATTTCACAAGATTACTCACATTTTTGCCTTTCAGGGTTGTGTACAATCAACTACAATTACAGACCACAGTGAACACGGATTACAGCCTGAAAAATGAGACCAGAACAAACCAGAACATAAAAACACAATACAGAAAGCCCAGCTAACGACAGATGCCGGCTATTGCTCATGAGCCGGTTTTGTGCAAAATGATAGCGATGAGGGGGCTTTGGGTCCACTGCAGAAACCCTAGCCCAAACCCAAAGAACATGCAGGAAGTCCCAGGTTCAGTCCGCAGCAGTTCCAGTTAAAAGGATCAGGCACAGGTGATGTGGAAGACTCTGGAAAGCCACTATCCATCAGAACAGGCAATACAGACCTTGACAGATCTATCAGTTTGATTCAGTATAAGGGAGCTTTATGTGTTCAGCAGAGGTTGTCACCTAAAAGGCATGTGTTCCAGCTGTCCCCAACTGGATGGATTGTGTTGCCAGAAGGGCCTGTTCAGTAGACCAATATCAATGTATGGGGAGAGGCGGACCTTCAGTTATGTGGGTCCCAATCCATGAAGTAAACCAGCACTCTGAACTGGAACTGGAAGCTGCCAGGAAGTAGTGGCAGTCCTGTAAATTAGGCTTCATACATATACACCATCCACCGCTAACTAGTGGACAGAGGGGTATACTTTCCACCAACTGAAGCTCCTGAATCGTCTTCAAGGGCAGCCCCATGTTTAGCACATTATGGTAGTCCAGCCTGGAAATATTTAAAGGGCAAAACAGCATGGCTAAGTCAGCATTATCTCGAAGGGAGAACAATATATGGGCCAGTTTATCAACGAAAAAGACTTCCTTGACAACGCTACCAGATGACTTCTCTAGTAGGAGGCAGGGTCCAAGAACACCCACAGGCTCTTCATATGAACAGAGGGGTCCCTACCATTATATTAGTTTTATTTTACGCTTATTTCAAGAAAAAAAAATCTATTTAGCCTTTCTGTTTATTAAAAAAAAATAGATCCCAGGTGGCTAACAAGATAGAACAATACATTAATAAAAGACAATGGAAATACTAAGTTTGTAAGAGAACAGAAGCCAAAATGAGCAGCACAACTGAAAGGAATTCATAAAATTGGTAGCAGATTGTTCCTCAGTAGCATCACCTCTTTTCTGTCTCGATTCACTTCTAGTTTGTTCTCCATGACCCCCTTGACCATCATTTTTGGAAACCAGTTGGCAGCGACCGGAGGAGTGCTGGTCTCAGCTGACTCCCCCTCCTCACTGGAGCCTTCTGTGCCGCATGGCTTTTTGACCATCAGAGTCCCCTGATCACCCTTTTGCAGTCTTCCTGATTAGCAAGCAAATAGGAACAGCATAGTAAAAAAAAAAGGACTTCCGGGGGGAAGAGAAAAGCAGGGAATGAAGTCCTTCTGCTACTGAAAAGCTGGTAGGATCTGATCGCTGGTTCAAGACAGAGAAAGCCGCTCCCGGGTGCTTAGTTTATGAAAAACAGAGCTGGTTGTTGTCAGTATTTGGATGCCACCTGACTCTGAAGCTCCGTGTGGTCCTATTCAGCACTCTTCCACAGACATTAACAGACTTTGGTGATAGTAGCAGACCTTGCAATACACCCACATAATAAGTTCTAGTGACTCAGCGTCTCTGATGGGAACTCGTTGCACCTCCCTGGGTAAGCCATCTGAAAAGATCAAAGTGCTCCAAGCATATTTTATTCTTGCCTGGCTGTCAAAAAACCCTTACTCAACCACCGCTCTGAGACGGCATTCGATATCGTTTGGCAAGAATCTTACCTAGACATAGATTATCTAGACATGGACTGGTAATTTCCATTTCATTGCATCTGAAGAAGTGTGCACGCACACAAAAGCTTATGCCTTGAATAAAACGTTGTTGGCCTTAAAGGTGCCACTGGACTCCAACTTTGTTCAGACGTGGAGAACGTTTATCTAGATGTAGATTTTGAAAGATGGTAACTGAAGAATCCAGTCTCGAGTCTGCTATAGAACACTCTGCAGAAAAGTCCTCCTATTGCAAAATGCAGCAGTTCGTAAAGAGCACTTTGTGCCACCGATCCGTGATCCATACTGGTTTCCTGCAATCTTAGGGGTTCCTTTCAAAATGTTGCTTTTGACCCTTAAAGCCGAGAGCTCAAAGGAATCGCCTTTTCACAAGGACCCCTTGAGAACTTTCAGGTCACGCAGGAGAACCGTCTTCATGACACACCACACTCGTGTCACCAGTGGCATCCCAACAGAGGAACTCCCTCCTCTTGGAGTCTCACAAAACCCCAGCCTCAAAAGTTTACTGGCAGCCCTTTCAGATGTTTCCCAGTTGGGGTTGATGCTCTCCACTTTGGCCACTGGCCTCTCTGTGTGTATGTTGGGATGTGGAATAGTATGTTATAGCCTGATCTCATCAGATCTTTGAAGCACAGCAGGGTCGGTACCAATGCTCTCTCTAAGCTGTGGAGTCTTGTGAGCAAAAATTCTACTTTGTGAGCTACTGGCATTAAAGTTGTGAGCGAGCGATTTGGCTGCTGCGTAAATCAGTTTGCTCTGGAGCCATCCTTCCTGAGCTAAGGCAAAAATGTGTGAGCCAGAGGCTAAAAACCTGTGAGCTATCTCACACTAACTCAGCTTAGAGGGAACACTGGTCAGTACTTGGATGGGAACCACCAAAGAAGACTCTGCAGAGGAAGGCTATGGCAAACCATCTCTGCTTCTCATTTGCATTGAAAGCACCTTGGCTGGGGTTGCCATAAGTCAGGTGTGATTTGACAGCACATACCATACAGAAGAGGAGGAGGAGGAGATTGGATTTATACCCTGCCCTTCACTACCTGAAGGAGTCTCAGAGCAGTTTACAATCTCCTTCCCCTCCCCACAACAGACACCCTGTGAAGTACGTGGGGCTGAGAAAGCTCTTTTGAGGACTGCTCGTGACAGAACAGCTCTGAAAGAACTCGTAATTTACCCACGGTCACACCAACTGCTGCATGAGGAGAAGTGCGGAATCAAACCCAGTTCTCCCAGATTAGAGTCCGCGCTCCTAACCACTACACCAAACTGGTGTATACGTCATTATGTAAGTATGTATACAAAGCACACACATGCAAAGCTACTGTTGTTCAGCCTCTGCAGTGAGGTTTCAGGCCAGCCACTCATTTTAAGTGAACATTAAAATAAATCAACCCTGACTGTTCCCTGGAAGGCCAGATACTGAAGCTGAAGCTCAAATACTTTGGCCACCCAATGAGAAGGGAGCACTCACTGGAGAAGACCCTGATGCTGGGAAAGACTGAAGGTCAAAGAAGAAGGGGACGGCAAAGGATGAGATGGTTAGACAGTGTCATCAATGCAACGAACATGAAATTGAGCAAACTCCGGAGCATGACGGAGGACAGGAGGGCCTAGCGTGATGTGGTCCATGGGGTCGCGAAGAGTCAGACTTGATTGTGCGACTGAACAACAACAAAGCTTCCGCAGAGCAATCTTATCCTTCTTCTCACAACCGTAAAGAAGCTGAAGCAGGACTGAGGGAGAAATCTGTAACCAGCTAGGCCTGAGGGGCAGGAGTGAGGAACGCTGATCCATCAAGACAGAGATTTTTGGATTCTTTCATTCTTCAAGGCTTGTTTTTAATCTTTCCCGGAGGTATAATCTACAGCCGGGCAGGTGGAGGCAAGCGTCTTCTCCCGCTTCCCAAGCAAACGATCCGGGTCCCCTGTCCCAACAAGTAGAGTTGGGGAGCAGGAACAAGCAGCAATTCTTTAAGCCAAACTGATTCCTGTCAGGACTGATCCAAGCCCCATTTTACACAGAAGGCACGCAAGGAAGCCTATGGGATTACTTCTGCTAATTGAACGCATCTCCAACCCATGTACACCAAACACTTGATTTTCCTTTATATGTGCACTGAGTAATTCTCATGTTAACACACCACACGTGTACAGCTGAATGTGTGATTTAACTCCGGCATATATCTGTCAAGTGAAAGCACACTGGTTCTTTCTTAGAAACAGATGTACGCATGTACTTGCAAGATGGACATAAGAGCATAAGAGAAGCCAATGTTGGATCAGGCCAAAGGCCCATCCAGTCCAACACTCTGTGTCACACAGCGGCCAGAAATACCAGTGCCATCAGGAGGTCCACCAGTGGGGCCAGGACACTAGAAGCCCTCCCCTCTTGCCCCCTCAGCACCAAATGTATCCAGTGTCCACTGTCACCGGTGAACAGGGATGGTGAAGAAGTGTGAATAGCAACCACGGCAATCCCCACTGAAGTGAAAGCACAGAATGCAGGAACGGAAGAGAATCCTAGACTCTGTGTGCAACTGTTCCAAAGGGTGAAAGTCTCAGACCCGACTGGTGCCCTCCCTAAGTGTGTGTTTATCTTGTCTTTTCACTGAGTGGTGTTTCCAGTGTCAGCTGCCTCACAGGCAACACCTCTCCCCCATCTTCTCCAGTGATGGGGGGCGTCCAGACACCACTCAGTGAAAAGACAAGCTGAACTCACAGGCACACAGAAGGGTCAAAGCTTGGCCCCTTCCTCTCCAGCTAGGTATTCCTGTTCCCCCCAGGGGGAAGCAGTTATCCCCATTGCTTGGACTGAACCCCGGAGAAAGCCTCTCTTCTTGGGGCTGCCAACCTCCAGGCGGGGCCTGGAGGCCTCCCGGAATCGCGAGCGATCTCCAGTCAACAATGATCAGTTCCCCTGGAGAAAACGCCTGCTTCGGACTGGAGGGTGGACTCTGTGGCATGATACTCTCCCGAGGTGCCTCCTCTTCCCAAACCCTTCCCCAAATCTGCAAGTATTTTCCAACCCAGCGTCGGCAATCCTACCCGTGCCCCCCCCCCCCCCCCCAAGGTATTGTGCCGAGCTGGAGAGTTTCACCAGCCAAGCCTTTCCCTCCTTTGGAGCGGCTGCCACTTAGGGTCTCTGTTCCCTCCAGCTGCTCCTGCGCTGCGCCCCTGGGAAGAAAACCCTCGGCAGTCCTGCTCCAGCCCAGCCCTCGGTCCCGTCCCGACACTTAGGAGAGCTGGGGGCCCACTCTGCAGGCGAGAGGGGCGCATCGGCCGGGCTGTCGAGGGGACCCCCCCCCCCCGCCCGCTCCCTCCCGCGCCCGGCGGCTCACTCGGATCTCGGCCAGGAGCTGCTCCTTGCTGAGGCCGGCTTTCTCCACGACGCTGATGCCGGCGGCTTGCAGGATCCGGGCGCAAGCCGGGTCCAGGCTGTCGCTGATGAGCACTTTGCGCACCGCGGCCATCGTCGCCCGGCCGGAGAGAGGCGAGGAGGGGAAGGAAGGGAAAGGGAGCGAGCGCGGCGTCTCCGGCGGCCGATCAAGGGGCTGCCGCGCCTCGCCCTCCCCTTTCATTGGCTCCCAGCGCAGACCCGCCCCCTCTTCCTCTCCGCCCCCTGCCCGCGGTTTCTCACACCTCCCTCCGCCCTCGTGGCCTGCGGGGCTCCTCTGCGCGTGGCGCCTGGTAGATCTTGGGGCCGCCTAGGGAGCGGGCCTGCCAGAGCGGCTGCACCCAGTAGGCTGATCCCGAAGGTGCCTTCCTTGGAAAGCCCTTCAGACGTTGCTTGCCCTCCCCATCCTCTGCACACATGGGTTGCCAGGTCTGGGTTGGAAAATATTTGGAGACTTTGGGGGTGGATCCGGGAGAGGGCGGGGTTTGGAGAGGGGCCTCAGTAGGGTACAGTGCCATAGAGTCTACCCTTTAAAGCAGCCATTTTCTCCAGGGGAGCTGATCTCTGTCAGCTGGAGATCAGTTGTAAAAGCGGGAGATCTCCAGGCCTCACCTGGAGGCTGGCAACCCTAACACCTATAAATACATATATATATTTTTTGCGGCAGACGGGAGAGGGGCCCTCTGGGAAACCTTCAGATAAAATAGGGAATAAATTTTTATACAGTTATTTACATAAGGGAGATTTTTGTGACTTTAATTTGTGCAGATTCTGTCAGCCATTAAAATTCCCCGTATTATGTCATAACAAGCACTCATGTCTGGTTGAGTTTTGTTTCCCCAGGATTTAGCAGATTCCATTTTTGCAGCTGGATGCAGCAAAGTTATTAATTCCTTGTGGATGGTTGAACAGTGTGTGTGTGATTTTTATCTGGTGTTAAGTGGCATCTAATATGTATTTGCAGATTGTTTAGCTAATGTATTAACAGCATTCAAGAAAGTAGATCGGAAAGCTGGTGTAGACCGTCCTGTAGTCTACAACATACCTCATCTTCTAAATCTTATTCTAGGTCTTTGTGTCAATATACATGGATTTTTTTTGACTGGGATCGACACAGTCTAGAGAAGATCATTCCTTTTGTTTGTACTTTCTTTTGAGCTACCCATAATTCAAAGACTTTTGTCCAAATGGTTATTCATTTTGAGTTCACCAATTAGACTTGGGATTTGTACATAATGGAACCAGCCGTTCCTGTTTAATTTGTCGCTGGCTGCTTGCTTGGGCAGCAGGACCTTTGTTCCTTTCCTATTATATCACAGAATCTACCGATAGTGTTTTCTTACCATAAAGAAAGAGCTATAGAATGCCTGATGGCAGAATAATCTCAAGACATGCCAGTGTCCCCTGGCTCCGTGTGGCATAGTAGTTAAGAGCAGTGGACTCTAACCTGGAGAACCGGGTTTGATTCCCCACTCTTCCTCCACATGCAGCCAGGTGGGTGACCTTGGGTCAGTCACAGTTCTCTCAGGGCTCTCTCAGCCCCACCTACTGGGTGCCTGTTGTGGGGAGAGGAAGAGAAGGCAATTGTAAACTACTCTGAGACTCCTCCGGGTAGTGAAGAGTGGGGTATAAAACCATTTCTCCTCCTCCTCCTCCTCCTGGAGTATGCAGGAGAAATAAAAAGCTGACCCACACACGGTAGGGTTGAAGCAGGTACACACCAATTACTTAATGTCCATTAACTCTTTCATAACATGGGGGGGGGAAACCCCTGAGTTTATGCTTCTTACAGCCTGGCCTGAGCAGTGGAAATAAAACAGGTAGCAAATTTTGCTGGAGCACAGCTGTGTAGAAGAGTTTTGCAAAGCAAACAGCCCCTCTGATGTTTGATAAGAAATGCACACAACCTGTTGGTCACAGCTCCAGGACACCATGTGACCCCTTTTGTGAAATCAAGGCCAGGTATACGATTTCCAGTCATGAGATTTTACACCTATCAGACTCCTGAGGCCATTTTGGTGGGTGGAGATGCCGTGGAGAGCAAAGTCCTCTTTGATGTGTAAGGCTAACGTTCTTCTCTGTGCAGGATGGGAAATGCCAACAGTCCTTAGGAAAGGAGCCCTTCCAGAACAAGGTTCATGAGAACCTGAGGTGGGTCCTCTGAGCCCATTTGTATTACCGTCTTTAGTGTATCCTTTTTCAGTGCGGCTCTCTGCAACTAAGGAAATAGATGGAGACTATAAACATCTTTCTGTCTGAGACATCTACCAGCTCAAGGCAACCTGCTTGTATTGCACAGTCCCTACCCCGATGCTGTCCCAAATTTAGAAGTCCCTGGAAAGAGCAAAAAAATATTAAGTCTTAGGCACCTGGGGGGAAAATTGCCCTCCTATATACCTTGTTTGCTCTAATGATGGGCAGAAAAGGAAAGGTATGATAAAGGAATAAAGGTGTGATGAAGGAAGCAAGATGTTTGTTCAGTGTCTGTTACCCCTGTTTTGGAGTGCCACACCTGCAGTCTCCTTTTTCAAATTTGACCCATTTAACTTTTTAAAATCCCTCTCTTTTTCCGGGTTTTTTTAATTGCAATGAATGCTTTGCTTCAGTCTCATCCCAGATGTCATTGGGTGGGAGAATTTTCTCAGGGATTTGGTATCATCTGGAAGAGGGAGGGAAGGCAGCCTGGTATAGCCCAGTCTTATCAGATCTCGGAAGCTAAGTAGGATCGGTGCACACACGAACAAACAAAGCTGTCTTATACTGTATCAGATCCTTGGTCCATCCAGGTGAGCAGGGGTCATTTCGTAGAAAAAGCATAACTCATTAGCACAACTCATTTGCATATGCCACACCCCCTAACATCACCGGAAGTGTGTCAGAAGGCAACACCCACTGCTCAGGCTCCACTGGACTGTTTTGGATTGCTAGCTATTGGGGGGGGGGGAACGTGCAGATCTGTCCTCGCGGAGGAGGGAGAGCTTGTACCTGAATAAAACTTGGTCTTAAAGGTGTCACTGGACTGTTTTGGACCGAGGGGCCGGGGGGGGGGCTCTGCAGGTTACCTGGCTGCTTCTTGCTCTGACTGAGGGCTGCTGGGAGCAGGGGGTGGGTGTTGCATGTGCCCGCCCCCTGGGCTCTTTACTGCCGGAGCTCTGCTCCTGTGCACTCCTGCAGGAAATGACCCCTGCAGGTGAGCATTGTCTACTCAGACTGGCAGCAGCTCTCCAGGGTCTCAGATGGAGGTCTTTCACATCACCTCCTACCTGGTCCTTTTTGTTGGAAAATTTGGTAAAAGTAGTTAGATATTCAGAGCTTGCTATGGATCTTTGTTCACTGGAGAGGAGGCATATTCTTTCTATGTAAAAATCTTTATTTCTAAAGGGAAAGGTACACAGGAAATCTACAAAACAACAAACACTTAAGACTACATCCTTACTGTTACAAGTACAACAACAGTCTGACTGACCACACGGTTGGTAATGGAGATTCTTTTTTCTTCTTGACCCTAGAAGGAAATCACCTGAATACATTAACCAATGATTGTTAGTAAATAGGCTCCAGTTTCCTGGGCTTTCTCCCCATTAGCTTTGTGCCAGGTTACCTTTCAGGTCAGTCTAAACAACTGCACACAAGGTAAACACATTAACCCTATAATGACTGAATTTAGACTTTGCAACACACATATTTCCAACACTTTTAACAGGAGGTGTGAGGGATTGAACCTGGGACCCTCTGCATGCCAAGCAGACGCTCTACCACTGAGCCACGGCCCCCTCTCCTTAAAGAATATTCACCACTAAGTGAAGCTGCCTTATAATGAACCAGACACTTGGTCCAACAAGGTCAGTATTATCTACTCAGACTAGTAGTGGCTCTCCAGGGTCTCAGGCTGAGGTCTTTCACATCACCTACTACCCGATCCTTTTAAGTGGAAGCGCCACCAAAGACTGAACCTGGGACTTTCAGCATGGTAAGCAGATGATCTACCACTGAGTCATGGCCCTCCCCTGAATCCCAGCCACTGCCGGCAGTGTCGCAACGGAAAGAGTCCTCGAGATTGATAAAGTGACTGCAAGTCGGATGCTTCTTCAGCTGGTGGGCTCCATGCATCTCTCAGGTCAGAGGAAACCAAGAGACAAACCAAGAGAGGATCCAGAGACAGAAGGATGCAAAATATTCCAAAGAAGAATTGGGCACATAGGATTCAGGTTTGCCCTCTTGGTGGGCTCCATGCATCTCTCAGGTCAGGGGAAACCAAGAGAAAGGAGAACCCTGTCTCCTCCCTTAAGAGAGGAACCAGAGACAGAAGGATGCAAGATATTCCAAAGAAGAATTGGGCACATAGGATTCAGGTTTGCCCTCTCCAGGGGGCCTCAGACCCCTCTGGAAAGGAAGAACTTTGGAATACCTCACATGACTTTGCAGAATGTGACCTCCTTTGTGGGGAACCCAAGGAATACACTCACAAATCTAAAGTGATGCACAAACACAGGGCTACCTCCCCACCACTAGAATTCCTAATGTAATTTGCCTAGACTCAGGAGGGCTTCCTGTTTAGACCCACTTAAATAGCAGGTACATGTGTGTCACACATGTACTCCCCATTTAAAGATAATGCGTGGGTTCTTGGAACAGAGACCACCAAGGAAAATTCTGCAGAGGAAGGCAATGGCAAACCACCCCTGCTTCTTGCATGCCTTCAAAGCCCTTTACTGGGGTGGACATAAGTCGACTGCAATTTGACAGCTCTTTGCACATCACAGGGGAGGGTGAAGGGAAGGAAAAAAAGTAGTAAAAAAAAAAAAGATGGTGCTAAGATTATATCAAGGCCAGAGAGCAGATTAAATCAGATTCTTTTTAAGCAGCATCTTCCTCTTTATATCCAGCTAGGACCTGCACAGAAGGAGCTAGGAATCCACTTTAGTACAGCTGTGCTAGAAAAGTCTCTGATTTCTCCCTGCTCCATGCAAACATTAACTAACTCCCAACCAGAGTTCCCTTTAAGCTGTGCATGTGAGCCGCCGCTCATTGACACAGGAAGCCCCGCTCAGCAGCAATCTGGAGCCAGACAGGGTCTTGCACTGCCCATTGCCCATTTTAAGATTACAGCAGTTACCTTCTGCTC